AGGATTTTTTTTCCAAAATGATTTATACACCATGTGGAAACAATGCCACAAATGCTATAAAATCATGTTGACAGAAAACCTCCAGTGGGGAAAAATTATAAGATCTTGTTTTCTAAGTGATACTGTTGATCATGGATATGTTATCAAATATTATAGTATTCATTTTTCCACATGGATGCGTGACATTTCGGAATGAAAACCCTCACTTATTTTTCACTCCACGATATGTTCCATCCTTACACTTTGTGTCTGTTTGGTTTGTCCAATAAAGGCAAACTTATTTCTTCATAAGGATTTTTAATGTGACTTCTTTTTTTTGAAGAAGAATTTCACCCTCAAAGCATGATTATAGAAAACATGTCAACATTATGTCTCTTCCACTATGCTGAAAAAACGAACAACAGTAAGGTAAGTCAGACCACTGACACTAAGGTTTTGTTAGGCTACATTCACATCACAGGCCTTAATGCTCAATTCCAGTCATTTTGTCAGATCTGGTCTTTTTGTGTTGCTGGTTCACATTCATTTTTTTAAGTGACCCGTATCAAGTCCTGATGTGAAGACAGTTGAGGTCGTAAACGGCCGTGCATGCACTGATTGAACTGAAATGTGAGCTGCGTGTGTACAAAACAAATTTTTGCAACGTCAAATCACAGTTTGTAACTACTCAGTTACATGTTCTACCCAGTTTGGCATGATCAGAAGATTCTCCATAAATGTTGGACAACTTTGAAACGTCCTCATTTCTCACTGCTGCTGTTGCTCTCCTTTGTTTTTACTCTTGCTGGTCTGTGATGAGTCAACACTGTATAGATGAAGACGTGCATGTGTAGAGGAGGGAGATGTTGATAAAAAGCAAATGACCATGCTGCGATCTGATACACAGTAAAATATCAGATATGAATTGGATCTAGGACCAGTGGTTCAGATCTGATCTGAAAAAAAAAACCTGGTTTGTTCACATCTATGAAAAGATCAGCTCTGGGTCACTTCAGTTCAGCAAGTGATGTGAACATACACTAGCTCAAATCTCTCAGTGGTGCTGAAACAAAGCCAAAGTAAGATGGAGGGTGTGACGAACATTTTTCCTCATCATTCGTGCTCACAGAAAGAGGCTGCGTTCTCATGCGGCAGATCCATCAGAGTTCTGCTCACAGCAACATCATGGTGTGGCCACTGTGAAAAGCACAAGATGTTACCCCAGTTACTCTGCATACAATCCATCATATTTTGAACTAAATAGGTATTGGTGTTTTGAAATCATTGGAAAATGGGCAGTATTTTACCTTATTAATGTGTTTTGTAGGTGTGAAAGAAATATTTGAGAGTTTAGTAAATACAGTATGCTCGTGAATTGGTCATAAAGCCTTTAGGTTTCCTACCAGCCCTCCAACTATCAACTAAAAACATTTGCAGCCTGTTTTGTATACATGATATTTGTATGTTTTTGATTACTATGTATACTCGGCTACAGTATACTGCTTAGAATTAAGTGTAAATAAATGTCTGTCGTTGTGAAGGAGCACAGTGACTTACTTCTGGGGTAAATTGTGATGAATATGGTTACCATGGGCATCACAGGCAGCAGAATCCAACGAATATAACTCCAAATATACGCGCCAGTGGCTGCAAGGGAATAGCAAAGAAACATAAATGTGATTTCGGTGTTGATTGTGTGACATCCAAACCAATTATAAAATTTATAGTATTTCAACAATCGTATATCTACAATTTATAGGTTATTAAAGTTGCACAAACAATATTTCCATATTTACAATGAATGAAAATGTTAAATATTTATGTAAAAATTATGTATGTGTGTGTGTGTGTGTGTAAGTATATATAAAAGAGCCTGAGAAATAAATATAAATTACCATTACTATCTTGCTACCTTAGTGGTTATCACAACTGTTACCATACTGGCCTCATTCAGTCTCTTGAACGTTTGAATATTCCTTTCTACTTACTGTGAAAGTAGCCTTCGGCCAGCCTGATGACTGAGTCATTTTTGCTCAGCACACCACACCAGTACACTCCCTTGCCGTGGCTCAGCTCCGCCACTGCCACAGTGAAAAAGTCTGAGCCCTGGGTCACCTTCAGTTTACCTCCATCCACTAATTGGTCGTTCTGGCTGAAGGTGAAGCCAGTGCAGCACTCACTGGAGCTCTGCCTACACCAAACCCTCAGCAGGCCCACATACTTCTGATCATATGGACATGTCAGGTCCTGCCAGTACACTGCCTCACAGGCTCCTGCACACAATAAATAATGCACTTATTGTATGAACACCTACTAATGAGGTATTATAATTACTCTTTGAAACATTTTACTACACTGATTTTATTTCATCTAACAAGTAGCAAAAAGTGACTTCCTAGCACAAAAGCCCAGGTCTTCACTCAGAACATTACGTGGGCTAGATGACAGTATCTGATGGCTGTGCTGAATTAATGTGGTACAAAACCATTAAAATGAATAAAGGGATAAAGGTACTGGCTACTTGGCATACAGGGAAACAATTCACCTCTCCTGATATTTCAGGTGGCTTTGTTGTAACATCAGAACATTTGCTATGAATTTCAGGCAAATGTATGTCTATAAAATCAGTTTCACCTCGACCTAGTGCCTGCTTGACTAAATAAAACACTTCAATGAAATCCCATCCAATTTGTTTTTACCCTATAATAAACGATCTGAATTCCTAATGTTCTCTATTATTATAAAGGTGTACACTTACCTGTAGCCAAAAGCAATATAAACATTAGAAGATGCATGATCCAAGCAATAAAACTTGTTAGGCTCACATGTGATGTAGCAAAGAGGAAGAGAAGCTGACATTTTATGTGGCTGTGTTTCAGGAAATAGGTACGCACACAGGGTTTATCTGTATTCTTATTCTAAACTGACCCCGGAAGCATCTTTTCAGAGCTCATCTTAGTAATAACCTGTTCCAAAGGCGAAGTTTTCAGTGCCAGTAGAAAAAGGGAAGGTTACTTTCAAAAATCAGCCTAATGGGTTACAGATTACTAGTTACCCCTGTTAAAAATGTAGCAAGTAATATAACTTGTATGTATCAAAGTTATGTAACTTATTAGTCTTAATTAGTTTACTTTCCAAAATTTATTAAACTGGGCAATAACCTGAGAAATAAAGCTGAGAAGTCATAACGTATTTTTTTCTCAGAAACTGTAACAGGTAATTTAATTACAGTAGATAGTTATGTGTAAATAGTTGCTCCCCATCACTGGACTGTAGTCTACACGCTCAACACTGACAGACTGGATTTTCTGTGCCCCATTGTTGAGTGCCAGACTTATAATTTGAAAAGGCTGCCAGTCAGTATAGAGAGGCGAGAACTGGCATAAAGTGGATGGTGGCTGGATTGGGATGGCAGCTCAGGCAACAGGTGAGGACACTGACATAGATTTCGATGGACACCTGTTTCTAGTGGGAGAGGGCGCGGTACAGTAGCTCCAAATGAAGATTAGGAAATACCGGAAATCAGAACAAGAGAAGCTATGATGGGAAACAGTTCAGATCAGGGTCAACAGGTGGTTAGAAAGAAAGTGATAAGTTGTCTCAAGAGTTGAGGAAAAAGCTAGGGGATGTGGATATGGCTAAGTCTTAAGAGACGGCACTTTGTTCCTATAATGTAGAAATGAAGATCAGGGGGATAAAGTTATGCAACTAGGAAATATCTGCAAAAAGTGATTAGTGACAAACGAGTATTGAATGAGAATAAAAGTACTAGAGGAGTGATTACAGGTATTCGTACTAATGAGGCTTTGGATAAGATAGAGTGAAGAATTCAAGGAGGGCAGGTGACAAGATTAAAGAGATTGTTGAAAGCTATAAATGGTGAGAAAATAGCCAGTTTGTCTGTGTTGTTGGAGTTTCAGGGCCCTGATCTCCCAGAAAGAGTGAAAATAGGATGCATGAGTTTGCCAGTAAGAGTATATGTTCCACGCCCAGAGATCTGGGCATATTGCAGTGGCTTGTAATGGGAAGCAAAGATGCCCTAAATGTGGAGGTGACCACACATATAATAGCTGTAATGACAGTGCTCAGGCAAAATGCTGTAACTGTGGAGGTCAACACAGTGTCAGTATAGAGGATGTGAATTCAGGAAGAGGGCGGTGGTGATCCGCAGATACAGTAAAAGTTTGATTGATATTAGTTACTCAGAAGCTGTAAACAAAGTGCAAAGACAAGAAAGAAGGGCAGAGCCAGATAAAATGAGAGAGAACACAGAAAAGAGCAACCTGAAGTAACACTGAGTGTGGATAAGCGACTACTGTTCATGGCATATGTGATCTATGTGTGTAGACCAAGTCAAACACAAAACTGAAAAAAATTAAGATAATAGTAAAAGGAGCAGAAAAAGAGGCTTGAGTATGAGAGAAAATCAGGGAATGCAGGTGAAAGGGCCTAATGATTGTTATTCAGTGGAATGCTAGATGTTTATTAGCAAATGGACAGGAGTTCAGAGGATTTATCAGTGCTTTGAGACAGAAACCAGATATCATTTGGATGCAAGAGACATGGCTTAAACCAAGATTAGACTTTGTAACTGAAGGATATGAAACTGTACATAGAGATAGAGACGAGGGTCATGGGGGAGGTTGTGTAATATTTGTAAAACAAAGTGTCTAGTATAGATTTTGGGGGCAAGGGACAAGTTTGCAATTTATAGTGATTGAAATGTGGACAACAGAAAGTAGTATAAGAATCAAAATTTTTACAGCCCCTGTAGACAAATGTCTTTAGAACTACTGCAGGAAATAAAAGGGTTTTTGTGAGGTAAACTGATACGGTGTGGTGATTTTAATGCACACAATACTTTGTGATGAAAATGGAGCAGTGCTTGTTGGACAGGAAAATTTTAGTGTGTCTTAACAACTGAGATGGTACAAAATTTAATATTAGGAGTGGGTTTAGCAGGTAATTGTACTTCCCAGGTAATTGGGAAGTCCTTAAGGAAACAACAGTGGGGAGTGATGAGTATCTTTTTAGACAAGAGGTTTTGGTAAGTGGTGTTTTATATATTAGCAGACTGGCAGAAATATGTGATAGTCAGTAATCCGGGGAGTTATAGGCCTGTAGTTTTACTGTCAGTAGTATGTAAAATAATGGAAACAATGATAAATGATAGATTAATGGATATGTGTCAAAATATCACAGTGGATTCAGGAGAGGCAGGAATACGAATACATTGGATCCAACATTATGCTTGGAGCATGAAATTAGATAAGCTCAAGAAAAAAAAGAAAGTGGATTATAAGTGTTTTTTGATATAGAAAAGGTCTATGACATGATGTGGACGGAGAGACTCATAATCTGTTTTAGTAAATTAGGGATCACCTGTAGGATGTACAGATTAAACATTTTTTACTTGGCAGAACAATCCAGGCTAGAATAGAGAATAGTTATTCTCAAGATGGTACTGTAGAAAATGGAACACCACAAGGTAGCATAGTAAATCCTTTGTTATTTTCTATTATTATTAATGATGTGCTTTTAAATATGGAGACTGAGCCAGGGTTGTCTCTTTTTGCTGGTGATGGGGCTATTTGGAAAAGAGGAAGAAACATAAAATGTATTGTAAATAAAGTGCAAGATGCAATTGGGAAAGTGAAAGAATGGTCACTAAAATGGGGTTTTAGATTCTCAGTGGGAAAAACAAAAACAATGATATTCACGAGGAAGATATATATAATTATGAGCTGGAAAGCGTAAAACTCTTTACATTTTTAAGATTATGGCTTGATGAAAAATCCACCTGAACTGTATATATCCCAAAAAAATCATTGATAAGTGTAAGAAACTATTGTTTAATTATTGGGACAAAGACAGGACCAGCCAACCCTAGCCATATTAAAATCTTGTTGGGAAAAAGACAAAGGAGACATAAAGAGTTTTGGCTGGACTGCTCTACAGAAAGCAGAAGAAATAGGAATATGTGAAAGAAATATTAGTCCATTTGTACCAGAGGCAAATGTAGATCTGACTTTATTAGAAGAAAAGAACAAAACTGATTGAAATTTGAACCTAAAAATATACAGGAGTACATAGAGAGGCAGTGCTGCATTCAGATATATACAGATGCATCAAAAGGTTCAGGTAATAAAGTAGGAATTGCATTCCATATACCAGAAATCAGTATCAGATTTGAAATAAGTTAAGGTTTGATGGAAGTTTAGAAATGAAGTAGCTGACAAATGGACAAAATAAGTTAAAAAAAAATACAAATATTGGTATCAAGGTGAATGATAGTAAAGCAGAAGTAAGGATTGTTATAAAAAGTAAACTGGGAGAAAACAATAGGATGAAGAGAGAACAGGAAGATGGTTATATAAAATCCAAGGGAAAGGTAGATGCAGCAAGTAGGACAAGGAGACGTATGAAAGAAGAAACAATAATATCTAGATTATGGTTTAGACATACAGAACTAAATAATCCACTATTTAAAATGGGTGAACATATTACTGGAAGATATGATTTCTGTGGGGAGGAAGAAACATTTGAGCATGTTATGTTATACTGCACAAAATATGAGGTTGAGAAGAGGGAACTGATTCAGAAGTTTAGAAATATAAAGGTGGGGTTTGATTTGTGTATTTTCCAAAGAAGGTCTGGAGATGTATGCTTTTTTGTTTGTGTTCCAGTTTTTGTAAAAAAAAAAGGAAACTGACTAAGAGAATTTAACTTCTTCTATTAAATGTTGATGTAAACGATTATAATTGTCTTAAATGTTTAATTATAAGATTTAGGAAAGAGGTAAAGAGTCCTGATCCACACTTCTATCCAATTGGTGGCAGTAATGCACCATGTTTTTTTGCCAACCGCCATAAAACTCTAAGAAGAAGAAGGAAAACGAAGATCACCATCCTTTTCAGCTTTTATTAAACAATCTGATCTTAACAATTACTTCCAAACATTGTCACAAATAAACAACCCTAACAAAAAATGAACCAAAACCATAAACCTCCTCAAACGTTTTAATTTTATATCAGAATAGCTTTACCTCTTTGTATTTTATATATTGTTCTCTTTTTTTGTTCCCACTTGTTTGGTTCTGCTATTCATTTTCACTTTGATATATTATGCCTACTTTTGTCCTTTTGTCCCCTTAATGCGTGCTGTTATACATGTGTTGCAACAATTTGTACTGAATATATTTTGTATTGATTTACATTGTTGTTAAATAAAAAGAATTAAAAAGAAGAAGAACCAGCAGAAGAAGAAGAAGGAGAAGAAGAACCTCATGAAAAAAAAATATAACACTTTTTTTACTTTACACCACAAATTTGTGTTATCCAACAAAGAGAACTTTAATTTTTACACACATTTTATTCATTAAGCTTCGTTATTTGTAAATACATTCCAAACATTTTTTTGCATCAGTGTGCTAGAACCCCTAGAACATTTTTTTTTTCTGTGTGTACATGTGACAGTATTTTGGACTGACCTTTGTTTTGATCTTAAAAAACATTATGGTAAGGAAATTTTACCTAAAGAATGTGGCATATTATCAGTTTTTGACAAGCCCCATTTCTCTAGCAGTGAAAAATATTAAGCTGCTCATTATCTTGGCCAAATTCTACATTCATAAAATGAAATTTCTGTGGGAAAAATACCATCATTTACAACTTTTAAACAATCTGATCTGAGCAATTACTTCCAAACACGTTCACACTTAAAACAGTCTAACAAAAAACTACTCAAAACCACTGCCCCCTTCAAATGTTTTTATTTTATATCAGTATAACTTTACCTTTGGTATTTTGTTCACTTTGTACTGCCTGTTTTTCTTGTTCTGCTTTATGTTTGTACTGAACTGTTTTTCTGTTATTTCTATTAAATAAAAAAGGCGTAAGAAGAAGAAGAAGAAGTATTCAGTATTCAGTATAGAGCACTCTCATTGGCTCCTTTGTCAACCAATGAATTAAGTTCTTGTAGGCATGTCTGCGCTCTACATGTGAGTGAGTTGCTACATCTATGCTATCTACTAGCTGAAGAAAAAACATGGTGAGTTGAAGATTGATTTTTAAACATTATGAATTTTACGTATCTTTATTAGCTGGTTATAAAATCTATAGTGGTGAAAACACGTTTTATTAGTTAGGAAACGCTAACGCTACTTATACGGGTAATGTAAATTCATGTTAGCCTGATGTCCCCATTGAACATAAACATCACAGTGGGGTCCTCAACTTGTTAGTTGTCGTATTAATCAATTGTGTATTATGATTAATATGTTGATATCTAACTTCAGTTAGCCATATTTTTAGATAAAATATGTGTCAGCTTCTGGGACGACTCTCACCGCTTCATTATTATGAATTTAGCATAAAAATCTAAATGTTCCCATTTTCCTCTTTATACTCAATTGAGGACCTTGTGTCATATGAAGTGTTTGGCATGTTTTCAATAAGGCGTTTATAGTATTTAACCCGATTTCCATTTCAGTTTTTTAACAATGCCACCAAATGTTGTTTTTTAAAAAATAGTAACGTGAACAAACAGGACTAGAGCTAGTTTTTGACAGGGAGACGTATGAAAGAAGATGCATTGCATACACTCGAGTGTATGCAATGCATGAGAGTCACAGGATGGAGCTAGCACCAAGCATGTTTTTGAACCAAGCTCACCTATAAAGATTTTGTTAGTACTGTATATTTGCAGTCTGGGTCTATTTGTTCAAGATAACTTAGTGTACAGGTAATGTTCCTGAATGTTGGCAGCTTCGTCGAGAGGTGAGACTAAGGAGGGAGTACCTGTACAGGAAGGCACAAGAGGACAGGCTTCGAACAATAGAGGAGAAAAAACAGAAGCTGAGGGGAGCGCTTGATGGTAGGATGGCATGTTCCTTCGATCCTGCTTTTCTTGCTGCATTTTACATGACAAGTGATCTGCACATTCCCTGCTGTAACACAAGCATTTGTTATTTGCAGAAAATCGTCTTCTTCCCACTGAGGTGCGCAAAGAAGCACTGCAGTTACAGAAGCTGCTGGAGTATGACGATGAAGGGGCAGAAGGCTGGTGTTTTTTTTTTTCCAACAATATTATGTCCAATGGCCCCAATTTATCAGTGCTCTTCTCTTTTTGTTTAATCATCAGTTATTTTGTCTGTGCAGGTGTCAGCTCTCGCATGGATGATGAGTATAAATGGGCTGGAGTGGAAGATCCTAAGGTCATGGTCACTACATCCAGAGACCCCAGCTCCAGATTAAAAATGTTTGTCAAGGTCAGGCCAGTTTCTCTATGCTACATCTCTTAACTTCCCACTGTGGTGCATGGGCACATGGAGGAAGATGTAGGCCAGATGTACACGAGCTTCAACACTTTATTTTTTGAGCCTATAATTGTAATTTCAGGCTAATACAATCTTAACAACAAATTGTTAACTAACAATTAACCTTTGGTTGTTAATGTGCATCAAATAACCCTATCAACTGTATAACAATTCTGAAGTCATATTAAGCTCTTCTGACGTGTAGATATGGGTCTGGTGTTGTGTGCTAGTGGAATAGTACATTGTCCAGTATGTAACTTGTAACAGGAGGTAAAACTGATGTTCCCTGGAGCCCAGCGCATGAACAGAGGAAACCATGAGATCGTTGCACTAGTGCGAGCCTGCAAAGCCAACAATGTGACAGACCTCGTCATCGTACATGAAACAAGAGGACAACCAGGTATATCAGTTGAATTGAGTCGTTTTCTTCTTTTAACATATTCTGTGACTGTGACCAGGTAGCCTTCAAGATGTGTTTATAAAGTCCTCTTCACTTTTTGCAGTTTGTATTGTAGATTTAATTTTCAGTGGCTGAGTGCCATTATCAGTCTACACTCAGTAATCTACAATGACACTTGCTGTGACACTCCTGTGGTCAGGTGCACGTCTTTGATCCTTTATAGCCACCATGAAGCTGATATTTTTGGTTTAGAGTAAAATTTCTTGACAACTGCCCTATTTATATGTTACCAGATGAATTACAATGACTCAGTGGAAAACTCAACCAATTTTAAACAGCATATTCAAGGATTCTGGGGAGTACTACTGCTTATGTGAAAAAGTTGTATAAAGCCTTTTGTCTATCTAGAGGGAAGTGTGTGATAGTTGATATATTTCACATAGATGTCTCTGCTTGAGACTAGCAGCTTGAAGCTAGATTAGCTACTACTAGCATAACACACCCAAATCTCTCACTGAACTGTCAGTGCTTGAGTTGCATCGTGGGAAATGCAGGTGCCAGGTTTTGACAAGAATAAAGACTTAACTAAAAATAGCTGTTAAAGTAACACTAAGTTGTAACAAGCTGGCACGTTAGTCTAAGATGGTGACCATGGTAAAACGGTGTAACTATTGTGTTAACCTGCAATTCAAAGCACCTCTGTAAACCTATTTTTATAAGAAATGGAAGATCACTCATTTCACTTGGAGTATCTGATTTTTTTTTTTTTTTTTTTTTTTTTTGTTCATGTATATATTCACAGATGGCCTGGTGGTGTGTCACTTACCATTTGGACCCACAGCTTATTTCACACTTTACAATGTGGTGATGAGGCATGATGTTCCAGACATAGGCACCATGTCTGAGGCCTACCCCCACCTCATTTTTCACAACTTCACCTCACATCTTGGCAAGAGGGTGAGTGAGTGCTGGACCATGCACTTTACCACATACCACTGATATCCTCTTTCACTACTTGTTTGTGTGTACAACTAATTAATTCCGCTTGCACAGGTATCCAATATCCTTAAGTATCTTTTTCCAGTGCCGAAGGAGGACAGTAGGCGTGTAATCACATTTGCCAACCAAGAGGACTTCATTTCTTTCAGGTCAGTGACAAAGTACTCCTGAATACTATATAAACCTTGTGTTACTTGAAATGTAGTAATAGTAATATGCATTTTTATTACAGACATCACACCTACAAGAAAACAGACCACAAGAACATTGAGCTGACAGAAGTAGGACCTAGGTTTGAAATGAAACGTACGTATGGGTAGATAAAGATGCTTTTCACCTTCTGGATTCATCCAGGTAGATCAAGGACCGGTTAGGCTAGCTTAGCACTAACACCTAAAATAGGTGAAGCAGTGTTGTAATTTATTATGAACAAAATGGAGGTGACTACTGGATGTATTGGTGACTAACTTGCTATCTGACTGGATGCAACATACAGTGAGGAACAGAAGTATTTGAACACCCTGCGATTTTGCAAGTTCTCCCACTTAGAAGTCGTGGAGGGGTCTGAAATTCACATTGTAGGTGCATTCCCACTCTGAGAGACAGAATTAAAAAAAAAAATTCAGGAAATCACATTGTATGATTTTTAAAGAATTAATTTGTCTTGCACTGCTGAACATAAGTATTTGAACACCTGAGAAAATCAGTGGTAATATTTGGTACAGAAACCTTTGTTTGCAATTACAGAGGTCAAACGTTTCCTGTAGTTCTTGACCAGGTTTGCACACACTGCAACAGGGATTTTGGCCCACTCCTCCACACAGATCTCCTCTAGATCTGTCAGGTTTCGGGGCTGTCGCTGAGCAACGCAGAGTTTAAGCTCCCTCCAAAGATGTTCTATTGGATTGAGGTCTGGAGACTGGCTAGGCCACTCCAGAACCTTGATATGCTTCTTACAGAGCCACTCCTTGGTTATCCTGACTGTGTGCTTTGGGTCATTGTCAAGTTGGAAGACCCAGCCATCCTCTTCTTCCATCAATAGAGTCTTTGTCAGTGTTGTTCTTCATCATTTATGCATTAATGCAACATGACATAAAAGGAAATAATGTCCTTAAAAATAAAAAATGTGGGCTAGTATTTTCAAAGTGATTTGAATTTAGAGTAGTGCTTGAAGCTTTTATTTGGTGGAGAGGAGTAAAATCCTGTGATGATCCTTCATAATGTAGCTGGGTGGCTGTAGTTGTTTCATCATGAGAACAATCATGAGAATAATTTAAGGGTATTGACAGATGGTCATTTTTTATGGCATACTCCTGAATCACTTCATCATCACTATGGAAACTGTGTGTGTGCTCCTTTAATTTGAGTGAACTGAGCTGAAGGTCCCACAGATTTGTTATATTAAACTGTAATCTTCAATCATCTCTAATTTATTGGATCCCCAGCTGCTTCTCTTGCTGCCCCCATCCTTTGAGTGTCTTTGCTTGTGCATGAGTTCGCATATACATATGTATGCCATATATGCATGTGTGTCCCCCAAAGCAATAAAGTCTTTCATTTTTTTATATCTCCATCTCCCATATTCCCACCCACACATAATTGAACAGCACTGCAGCCTGTGAATATTGTGTTAGAGAGACACCCGCTGGTAGGTGTAGGGAGTGCACTTCACATGTTACCTACTGAACATAGAAGCCCTACCCATTAAGGAGCTCAGACAGGTGCTACTAATTTAGATTAATGAGTGGAGTAGAGGTGGACTTTTTCAAGGCACAGTAACAGGTCTTTGAGAGCCAGAATTCTTGCTGTTTCTCAGGTGTTCAAATACTTATGTTCAGCAGTGCAAGACAAATAAATTCTTTAAAAATCATACAATGTGATGTCCTGAAATTTTTTTTTAATTCTGTCTCTCAGAGTGGGAATGCACCTACAATGTGAATTTCAGACCCCTCCATGATTTCTAAGTGGGAGAACTTGCAAAATCGCAGGGTGTTCAAATACTTCTGTTCCTCACTGTATACAGTATTGCATGGTTGAAAGTAGTATCTTGTCATTTGCTGTTGGACTTAGGCAAGGCAGTATTTCCCTCTGCTTCCAGTCATTATGGATGTTCAGGCTGAACACACAGCTCTATGTTGCTACAGGTCCTGGTATAACCATGCAGTATGATTACAGGATTTGCGTTGCAAAGGAATCTCTAATGTGCAGCATGCACATATTTGATTGGCCAGTCGCATTCTGTTACAACAAATGTTGAGCCAGGTTAAGATTTTTATATTTGCTGATATTGGCTTATCACAAATATATCAATATTGGCATATATGTCTGCCTGATAAATAACAAGAGATTACAGTACAGAAATGCCCAATACTTGTTTGAATTGGCTTGGAAATTGTGACATTACAAAATTTGTCAACCACAGAGCACTGATAACTTTTTTTATTGTACCATGTCCTTTATAAAAGGTCAATATGTTATGATGATGGTGATATCAGACTTTTTGAACTCTCAGATATTGATGTGGGGCAGCACGGTGGGGCAGCACGGTGGCGCAGTGGTTAGCGCCGTTGCCTCACAGCGAGAAGGTTCCGGGTTCGGGCCCCACCTGGGACCCTTCTGTGTGGAGTTTGCATGTTCTCCCCGTGCTTGCGTGGGTTCTCTCCGGGTACTCCAGCTTCCTCCCACAGTCCAAAGACATGCAGTTTAGGTTGATTGGTGTCTCTAAATTGCCCAGGCCTATCTCTGCAATGAACGCACAGAAATATAAATGTATATGGATTGTAGTAATACCCATCATTCTAATACCCCAAAACGGCTAAAGCTAGCTTTTTGAGTGTTCATAAGCCCTTTTGGAATGTGTAAAATGTTAAATGTTTTCTTTTTGTTTAGTGTACATGATCAAACTTGGCACCTTGGAGAATGAGAGCACAGCAGACGTTGAGTGGCGTCACCATGCTTATACACACACAGCCAAGAAAAAGAGGTTCCTCAGTGTGCAATAAGAGCTAATAAAATGTTATCAAAACTGTGGACTATGGTGTATAAAAATCTTGTAATGTGGAATATTAAACTGCATCATATTCATCGTGAGTGACTGTAAAACCATTTTGTATTGAAATGTATGCTATTTTATAATAAAGTTCCTAATGACCTGTATTGGCTCAGTGCTCGTAATGGGGGAAAATATTCCTCCTTAACCATATATTCAAATATGATGTTCATCTTTGTTACAAAATGTACATTGTAGTTTATTTACATGTCAAAATTGTATGCTCTCAACTCGCACTCCTTGCGTGTACAGCTGGTGTTGTCAAATGAAAGAACGCAGCCATAAGAATCAACCAATGAAAACGGAGCATTTCGGAGGTTTTCCGCTTTCTATGAAGCTCTTGGCAGATCCGACTTCAGATTGAGAGAAATCAAGATGGCTGCTACAGGTATGAGTGTAACTTGTGTCCAGACTGTATTAAAATACTTTTTCGGAAGGAGTTTAGCGATTATCTTTACAAGTGTGTAACGTTAGCGACAACTGTCTCTGTGTTGTTTTACGCATGCCAGTTTATTAAATCATAGTTGTGTATCCCTACTGAGACCCCAGAAGTTAGCTAACAAGCTGACGTGCTGTTAACCCTCCCCCAAGTTAGCTAACGTTAGCTGGCTAGGAGTAACGTTAGCATTAAAGCTCCAGATAATCTCCTCTCCCACTCCAGTCATTTTAGCTAGTTAGAACAGTTTCAGGTCGAGCTGGAAGGAATTTTGAAATTCTTCAACTTTGCGTCGTTGACATAATATAGCCACCGTGTCGCCTCATAACTACTTACTACTATATTTAGAAGTAGTTTGTTAGTTAGGTACATTTATTTAACTGGCGCCCCGACAGAAACATGGCTTCCCAAAACTCGAAATGTCATATTGCAAAGCAGGCAAATCCAATGCTAAGCTAACTAGCTAACTTCAACTAGCATTTGCACCATGCGAGTGGTTCGCAACTGTGGCTGTCAGTGATTAATTTCATTATTAATTTAGCGCTCAGTGCTTGCTCGCATTGTTTAGGGTTAGTACATGCTTCTTCTGCGAGACATAGCTCAAAACTGGGATAATTAATTGTTTTCCTCTTCAGTGATCATTAATATATTTAACGGTGTACAACAGTGTAGGAGAATACACGGAACTGTAAGCAAGTTGTACTTAGGAACGTTGCAGGCATAATAAATTGGACGAAACGAGAGAACTAGGAGAATACACGGAACTGTAAGCAAGCTGTACTTAGGAACCTTACAGGCATATTAAATTGGACGAAACGGGAGAATGAACACCAATCTGGAACAGATAAGATGGAAGTAAATAAAGAGAGAGAGGAAAAAATAAAAAGGAAAGGGCCAGAGGTGTGGTTTCATATATTACATACATTCAGATATGGGTTAGGTTATCTAATATCACGTCATTGTGTTACAATGACACATTCTGACAAAAATCACATGCTTTTTATAGCTGTTCTGTTTTCAGGATTTCTGACAGAAGTTAGATACAAGTCTGTTTAAAAACACTTAAAATGGTTGTCTTTCTTAGGCATTTCATCTTGTGGATAAAAAAAAAAAACTTGCCAAAAGTGATGTAAGGATTTACATTGAAGGTTAGCTTGACATTTTTAGCACCATAGTAATAGAGGATGTCTGCCTTCTCTTTGAATACATTGAAAGGGAGTTTTGATTTTTAATTTTCCAAATCTTTCCAGAATTTTTCAGTGTGTGAGCAGTTAAACTGGTATTCAATGGATTCTGTTGCAATATTACATAAATGACACTCTTTACTAACACCAGGAGGGTTCTTTGAGATGACTTTGTTACGAGGTAGCATCTGTGCTTAATAGTGAAGGAGATCTCTTTCACTTTATTGATGAGGAAGAATTAATGCGGTGTTGTCCATGCTGTGTACCAATCTACTTGTTGGTGAGTGGCACACTTAAAATAGCTGTTGGATTAGATTTTCTGGACAGTAGTACTCTTGTGGTTTGGTAGTTAAACCTCTTGTCCAGAATGTACATACTATTAATCTTGATGCATTCACTGAGGTTAACTTGGTTTTGTTTTTCCATGTTATACAGGAGCATTCCTTTGGTACTGATTTGATTATGGTATTATATTCTTTGGGATAAATGGCAGCGCCATATTTTTGAATGAATTCAGTGTATGAGTCAAAAGAGTTAGTCTTTTATTAGTTGATAGACTGAGTTGATAACCCCTCATGGAAAAGTGTTTTTCTGTCATTTGTAAGATAGTCATTGACCTGAATGAAACATCTATGAGGAGAAAAATTGTGGTTGTAAAGCAGAGCCCAGCATGTTAGCACTTGTTTGTGAAATTCTGCTAATTTAACAGGAAGCCTACCCACAGCATGTGGGCACTGTAGTTAAAAAAAAAAATAATTGCCCTCCTAGCTTCGGAAATATAAAGTGTGGGGGAATGTTCCATAGGCTAAAAAGGTTCTTAAGGAAGTTTTTTTTAAATCCATTTTACCTTTAGAGACCGATTAAATGGTGAGAAGTTAACATTTAAACCACCATCACTGATATCATTGGAGATATCATATGGTGATACTGGACATCCTTGTCTAACACCTTTGTGAATATTAGGACTTGGAGATGTTCCATGTGAAAGTTTAATGCAGCTGCCTTGTTGCAGAGTTTTAATAACACCGATAAAATGTATGTCAAGTTAAAAAAAAAAAAAAAAAGCCAGTGCATGAAAAATGAATTGGTGGCTGACACAGCCAAAAGCCTTGTGAAATACAAAAAATTAAATAACACGGTTATCTTCAAGGAGGTCACTATAGCCTACCAAATCCAACACCAGCCTTATGTTCTTGCATATCTTTCTGTTCTTCATAAAATCAGATTGACATTCATCATTTATGTTGTATATTCTGAGGCGCAGGTGATCAGAATAAGATTGATAGTCTCTGTTTAGGATAGTGATCGGCCACCAGTTATCAATAATTGAAATGTCTTCATGTTGTTTAGGAACTTAGGGTTATAATTCTTTGCTTCATTGAGGTTGATAGTTCACCCTTTTCCAGTGACTCAGTTAAATCATCACAGCATTTAGTTTTGTAATCTTCCTTCACTGTAGGAGTTCCAGAAATAGAAGATAAGAGTTTTACAAGGATTATCAAGATTGTTTTAAAGCATATTGGTTGCTGTAAAAGTCCCACACAAAGGCTGATATTTGATCTGGATCACACAGCAGTATCATTAATTTTTCATTTTTGAATTTTAGCAGTTCCCAGTATTTTTGGTATCCACCATGTGTTAAGGCTAAGTTCCAGTATTTTTCAGGCCATTGTGGGCCAATATTGAGTTAGATCTTGGACAATGTTTGCATTGGGTCTAATTTAAATTTCGATTCATGTGTATTGCTTTATGGGCTGTCATGACTGCAGGAGAGCTCTAATTCTGAAGATACTGTCCAAAAGTCAAGTCGTGACCGGGCGGTTAAATCTTTATTATTCCATGTCAATTGCTTCTCCACTTGATTTATGCTTCTCCAGATATACATGATGTTTAGCTTAGAGCAGAAGTTGAAAAGTTGATTAGTAGAAGTGTTTGGTTTAGGGGGAAATGTGTCATCAGTGCTGTTCATTACCATATTGAAATCACCGCCCACCACGAAGGCACCTAAAGGGTTAAGATACCAATAACCTTAGTAACTCATCTGTAATCTCCTCTAGAGAAGTATTATTAGATGATCTAAAACAGTATCCATACACATTGCACAGGTTTATCACTTTGCCTGCAACTTTAGTCACCACAACTATCCAGTGTCCTTTGGTGTCAGCTTTGGATTGTAGGATTTTGCCTTTAAAGTTGTTAAAGAGAATAGCTGCACTTGCAGAGTGAGTGCTTCATTGGGCAAGCCAGATGTTGTCACCCCACCGATTTTACCAGAATGTGACATCATCTTTGCGTGAGAAAGTTTCCTGAAGAAAGATTAAATTAGCATCAGTGTCCTTGTAGAATATGAAGACCGTGTTTCTCTTCCCCAGGTTTTGCAGTCCTCTGGCATTGATAGAAGCCAGTTTAAGGTTCATGAAATGTAGATAGATTGGCCTTAAAGGAGAGAAAGAGAAGAAACAGAGAGAGCAAGAAAAAAACAGAGGAGTGAAAGTCTCTTCAAAAATAAGTATTTACTTCTTAGTAAAGTGTAATTTGGCTAAATTTAAGAAGCACAACCTCTTCCTCTTTGGGCAAAAAATTATAGTTATAACACTGAATAAAGTAACAGCAAAAACCCTGTCAGCGCCAGTTTCCAAGAAGATGTCAAATATGTGGTCCCCCTTTTTTAACTAGAGAACAGGCTGGGTTTCAGGCCAATCATAATGAGGCGAGTCGAAAATCTGAATTTCAGGTCTGGTTTCAGCAAAAACGTCTTTTCCTTCAGTGAATGCTCTCACTCCTCTAAAGCCAGTTTTCAGGCTCTCCTTATGGGCCTATCGACAAGTGGCCAGAGCTTATTTCTCACCGTTTTGTCTGCGATGTCAGGTCTTCTGTGAACCTCAGTTTCTTTTCTTTTATCATGGCACTGGTTTTGCCTTTTTGCCAGATCACATCATGGACAGCAGAAAATGCAAACATCACAATGATAGGGCGAAACTTTTCACTTTGAATTTTACTAACTCTGTGAGCCATGTCGATAGCAATATCTTAGTGAGTGATTTCTGGGGCGATACCTTGACACATGTCAGTTACAATTTTCTTCATATTCTTTTCTTTAACTTCGGGAAGTCTGCGCAGATGCAGAGCCCATCTACTTCAGTACTATTCGCTTTCTTCCAGCCGTTGCTCCATAGCAAGGATAGTCTTTTCCAGAGCCGAACTCTCCCTGTAACTTTCTTTTCTTTTGTAAGACTTTGAATGTCATCTTATGTCATAATTATTTTTACATTAGATTCCAATTTCTGAATGGAAGTTGTTTTCACAGATAATGGTTTCCAAGTTGTCGGCTCTCAGGTTCAAAGCATTCAGTGTATTGGCCTGAACCTCCTGGAGAGACAGCTCTCTGTCTTTTGTATCTCTTATCTTTTTATTAGGAGGGCTGTTGACTAGTGTTTTGGCTTCCTCTGTACTGGTTGAGGGATCCATTAGATCTTTGTCTTCAGAGGCCCACCTTTGTATGTATGTATGTATATTCTGATGATAACTTCTGACGTGTTGTAGCTTTGTTTTTCTGTCATTCTTGCTAGCTGTTTTAGCATCGCTGGACATCATGAATGATACTCACTGAGAAATGTATCTTGTCAAAAGTGGTATAGAGATTAATATTGAATTTTTATTTTTTATTTATTTATTTTTTTACATTCGTTTAACCAAGTACAAGGCAGTTAATCCAGAATTCAGAGAGAGAAAAGTTGAACTAGAGCAGATGACCATGAGTTATGCATCTACATTCTCTGCCATCTTGGGCACTGACCTGAAGTGTTTACCTGTGTGAGAATAACTACTGTCCTTCTCGACTTGTTAGGGTTTATCTGGTATGTGTTGCATAATGTCTCTGTCTCATAGTCTCTCAAGCAAACAATTTCAGTAATGTTAAAATTTAAAGATTTTTATATGTTGGTTAGCTTGCTATTCAGCAGACCAGTGATTCATGTTATATAAGGTATATGTTCCTGTCTCAGCTGAGTTGTCAGCATGTTTAGTAGTGTTTGGCATCACCTTCTCTCATGTTATCAATGGCAGTTAAGATAATTTTTTCTAACCCCCTCTTCTCATACCTTATTGATGAATTTTTTTACTTTACAATTCAATGGCTACAAACAACTAAAACCCACCAGTAATTGAAATGCTGCACTTTATCATAACTTGTGTTTATTATTTGTTTAACATTTACAAATTATTCATAGGCTTACAGCGGTAATGACAATGAAGGCAGCAATTGGAGTTGCTGACTAACAGCCTTCTCAGAAGCTTTATATGTGCTGTTTAGCTGTAAAAAGATGTTTTTCCCACATAGTCTTTCTTAATCATGTACAGTAGTGATGGGCAGATGAGACCTAATGAAGCCTTTGGGTTTTATTTCTGTTTATACCTAAAAAACCGGGTCCTCCAACAAGCAAGCAGTGACATGTGATGGCTTATAAAACACAGATAATATAAATAACAGTCCTTAAAGATTGGGCCTGGAAACGTCTCATTAAAGCTAACATTTAAAGCTTCAATATTTTTTTGTTCAGAAGTGCATAATTAAAAGATGTAACATTAACATAAGTGCTGGTAAATATAGGTAAATAAACTGTGAGCTCTTGTGTTTAACTTCATGGTTTATTTAGGTAACATTTCATATGAATTGTAATGTGATGGAATTGGAGAGTGATATTAATTAATTGATGCTATTACTTGTTAGCAGGTCAGTGTTCATATACTCTTGATTGTGCCTTCCACTGCACATTACCATATTTATCAATGGTATAGGCTTTGTGCATTGTTGTTGTCTTACAATTGATTTCTCAGGAGGGGCATCTATGCCTTCAACCCGTGATATTGTGATGTGTCTGAACATGACCTTTTCTCCAACAGTCAGTTCAGCTATATTGGAACAAAGGGTATATTATGTCCATATTTAAATATGTCAATGTTGTTGCAGGTTCTAAATAAAGAGCAGATTCCTCTGGTTCTCACTGCACATGAAGCTCTCCTGACGCTGCAGTGTCTAAGTGCTACGCTCCTCGTGCCTCTCGTCATGTCCTCCACCTCTTCCTCCTACTCTTCCTCAGGGGAGACTAGCCCAGAGGATGTACCCCGAGGTGGGGGCACCATCCGAGTCTACCTCCCCAACAAACAGAGGACAGTGGTAAGATGATTGGCTTTGTACTTCTATCCGTTAATGATATAGTGGCATAAACTCAACAATTGAGAGTTACAGTTAGTACCTGTGATTATGCCAGAACTGTGGGTTGGTGGTGTAATTACTCACACAAATTTTTGCATCTTTCATACCATGCTAACAAGCAAGCTAGTGGACAGTTGGTATCAAGTTTCACAGTGCCTGGCACATCTTCTGCCAGTTTGATTTATAAACCCTATTTGACATGCAGCCTCAGAGTATTCATCCCACTTTTTGCACAATTTATGTTGTAGATATGATTTTAAATCTCTGATAAAGTGAAAATGTTTTTAGAAATCATTGCAAATTAGTTTGATTAAAAGTCAAAAACTGTAATGTGATAGTTAGAGCTTTCTCCTGAAGACAGTCAAATGTTGTCTTGGCTGTATGCGTCTGAAAAGTGAACCAGGTCCTGTGCACTCTGGAGCACATTTTCTACAAGGATCTTTCTGTATTTGATTGCATTCATTCTTCTCTCAGTTCAGACCAGCCTCTCTGTCCATGCTGCTGACAGGCCCCTCCATTGCATGATGCTGCCACCACCATGGTTCACTGTAGGGATGGTGTTAGCCAGGTTATGAGCAGTGCCCAGTGTTTAAACATAGTGCTTCAGGTTCTGCCCAAAGAGTTCACTTTTTGTCTCATCAGACCCTCATACTCTCTCAGCCCTTTAAATGCTGTTTGATAGACTCCTACAACTGTCATATACTTTTACTAAGTGTCTTCTGTCCAGTCACTCTACCTTAAAGGTCTGATTGATGGAGAGCTGCTGAGATGGTTGTCCTTCTGTCAGGTTCTCCATCTCTGCAGTGGACTTCTAAAACTCTTTTAGAATGCCTATTATGTTCTTATCCTTCTTGCCCAGTTGCTCACTTTGGCCAGATGGCCAACTCTAGGAAGAGTCCTGGTGGTTCCAGACTTTTTCAAATGGACTTTGGCTTGTTTTCGTCCTTACATGCAGTGTGAATTATGGGACCTAATATATACTGGAGTGTTTTTCTAAATTCTGTCTAGTCAATTCACTTGAGCACAAGTGGGCTCCAGTCAAAGTTCTGTACACATCTCAGATATAATTAAAGCAAACAGGATGCACTTGATCATTTTGGATTGACACAACAAATGACTGATGTGTCATAAATGGCATATACATCAGCCATTTGAGTTTTTTATTTTTAATTCATTCAAGAAAATGTCTAGATACATGTTTTCACTTTGTCATGGTGGGTTACTAAGTGCAGATTGGACATATATAGGGCCTTTATCCAAGGTTAAATCTGTAACACACTAAAGTGGAGAAATTGTGAAGGGGACTGGATGCTTTTTAAGTGACTAACGTCATATTTTTGTATTCTGACAAATTGTCTTGTCATGGTGGCAGTGTGCTAAATTGTAACATTAGTGATAATGATGATTGTGCATGGTAGTTAAAATCGTGAAATGTGTGGAGGACAGTGGAGGACTCTTATCCATATCTCTGTAAAACAGCAAGCCATGTATCTATGCTTTTACAATGCAGAGCAACTGTGAACCTCAGCAAGGCCTGCACATGTCCACTTTTCATACTTTTAAATCTACCAAATTTCTTTTCAGCTTCTAGGTCTTGTGAGACTCAAAATAAAGGCCCAATCCCAATGCCCTTCCTTAGGTCTCAGTCCCAGAACCCTCAAAGACTTTAGTTACATCACCTTATGTGATTGAGTGCAAGAGCCTGCAAGGGCTGGAAATTATATAAATAGGAATGGGACAGCACTTTGTGACTTAGGCTATCACATCACTATGACAATGCCAAAATTATGCCATGGCTGTAACTATTGTGGGATGTTTTTAACTTTCCTTATGGCCAGGACACTTCAGGGACCGACTGGCTGATTTGAACATGATCCAGGCTCTTGCCTTACAAGTGGATGAGGGGCAGTTGTCAATTACCTAATCAGTTAAATATGCTTTTATCAAAATGACATTAGGCAAAAAAGAAAATAGAAAATATTTAGCAGATGCTTTTGTCTAAAGCAACATAGAAAAACAGAATAACATCAGTTAACATCAGAATGATTGTTCATTTACTACTCGTCTTCTTTATTTTTCTTATCTCAGTTTTATTGCATTTGTTTACCCTTTTTACGCTTTGATTTAGATCCCTGTGTGATCCCAGTCTCACACGACAATGATTTTGCCATGTTTGCAATAGCAGGGAGATGCATTGCATCAAACCAAGTGTTCCCTTTTCTTCTCTAAGCTGCGTTAACCGATAGCAGGAATACGTTGCATCACATGATGAGCTGTAGACAGGAAGAGAAGACTGATTCAAAAACAAATCCAACATGTTTGACATGGTGAAAGATATTCTATGGCAGAGGGTGCCCACACTTTTTCACCTTGAGAGCTGCTTTTCAAATGACCAAGTCAAAACGATCGACCTACGCGCGTGTGCGCACACAAAATATATGTATGAATGAGTATCGTAGTTTTTATGAACAGTCTGAAAGTGCCCCTCCACGTTTCTCTTCTTTGGAATAGTGGTGGTAGATCAAGCAAACACATTTCGAATATAACATTGCGGGAAAAAAAAGTCCTCTTCCTGTTCCACATGGAATGCTTTCAGTAGGTTTTCAGGTTTCTTATTTGATTCGGCCCCCCCCACTCATTTTATACCCTTTAGTAGAAATTAATTTGAAGGCTGACAAGGTAGTTCGCTCACTGGAGTTTTGCAGTAGCTCGTGCGGTTGACTGTGCATGTTTGGTGACTCGTGTGTCAGAAAAGACAAAACCTCAGACTGGCTGCCCTGCATGTCAATCAAGTAGCAAATACCATAGGGAGGATGGCTGATAGGCTATATATGAATGATTGGCACTTTCTGCTTTTCCCATTAGGGGTTGCCACAGTGAATCGTCATACTGACCATTCGCATGTTCACATTTGGCACATGTTTTACGGATACATCTAATTTATTTTTGAATGGCACGCAATCTACCAACACTACCTTTGCGATCGAGCGGTTGATCGCGATCGACGTATTGGGCACCCCTGTTCTATGGCCTCCTGCAACATTGCACTGCCTGCTCTTTACACTTGGTGCCGAATAGCAGTTGAGGCAGAAATGAGTTGCAGTTATTGGTTAACGCAGCTTAACGAGTAAAAGGGAGCACTTAGTTGGATGCAAGGGATCTCACTGCTAACATAGACTGCAGAATCATTGTCACGTGAGACTGAGATTCCACAGGAATCTAAATCATGCCCACAAAATGATTAATCATGGGATTGGGGGAAACCCTCACTTTAAGCTGCTCTTTATCCCTCCCATCACAGCCTGTTTCCTAGCAATGATGTAAACTACCAATGCCTGATTGCAACAAACTACAAAATGCAGCCTCAAATTCTAAGCTAGTGCTAGCAGACTAGTGAGTAAATTTGGCAATTACTCCAAAATTAAAATATTTATTAAATACAAAGGTAAAATCATGACCTAGGTAACTAATGTTAATAAAACAAAACACATTAGCTTTAGATTCTAACATATCCAGAAGGAAGAACACCACATCTGAATCAAATTTGAGTGCTTTGGCTGCTTTTAGCGCTATCTCAAAAAGCTAAACTGATGTTAACCCTAGATATTGAGCTTTTGCCCCACTCACTCTGTGCAGAAGAACATGGCCTTATTGCTCTGGCAGCCACTGTTTTGTAGTTTTAACTGCTAAGAGGTCCCCCATGGCTGTTTGAAATGGGGATGTGCTCTTTATAAAACAGTTCTTTTAGCTGTCACTAGGTGGCAGGTGGGGAACACTGACAGGCAGTATCTAAAAAAAAAAACAATAGAGAAGCTGCAATAATAGTGGACTGTAGGTGGCAGAGTGTTATGGAGGGGGTTAGGATAGCAAAGAGACACTGTGTCCTGCCTCATTTTAATTTATCAACGTGAACCTTGTAGTGAAACCTGAATTGATTAAAGACAACCCATGGTAAAAACGTTAGCTGACTGTATATGTAGATGTATGTATTCACTCGCATAGTTTCTTCATTTTGTAGGGGTATAATAAGTGTATTGATACTCATGTTTTGAAATACTGTATTGATTCTCAAAAACAGTATTGATTTTTAATTAATAGCTCACATGCCAAGTAGTGCTATGTTGATGGATTTTAAAAGGACTGTGACAAATGCAAATGTAGATCCCTGTTCTAATTCCATAAGAAAGCACACTTTTTTTACAAGAGATTTTATGCATATGGTGAATATATCACCTTGTTAGCAGTATTGCAGTATATCGAATTCATGTATTGTGACACGCATCGTATTGTCAAAATCTTGCAAATACACATCCTTATCATTCAACACAGTAACTTGTACACATTCTTTTTCTAGAAGCCAAGAGGGCTTTACCTGCTGAATGAAGTCCTGCCAAACAAAACTTTGGTCAAGCATTTCCACGTTTCATGCTTGTTTTTTTTCTGTTTCCTCTTTTTTTTTTTTACATTAGCAGACATGAAACACAATGAAACAAATGTTTGTCACTGTTAGGCTAGAAATACACATATACATTTGTCATGAAACATGCAGTAAGGCGACCCTGGAACCTTCAGCTGTAGACTGACATCCTACAGTGTCATCTTTAAGAGCTTTTTTTTGGTCAGACCATGTATGTTGGCATTATTTTTTTAGGCGAAAAAGGAATCTGTAGACTGAAATGAATTTCTGTCGCAACATGGATAATTTATAGTGTTAACAATAACTTGGTGTGTGGCCATCATTTTTGCTTATAGGTACTTTCATTGTGCCTCCATGTTACCTGTGTGAATGCCATTTCAAAGTGAAAGACGTATGGTTTCCTGTTTTCAGGTAAATGTTCGTCAAGGACAGACTGTGCACGAGAGTCTGGACAAAGCGCTCAAAGTGAGAGGCCTAAGCCAAGAATGCTGTGCTGTATTTCGTCTTCTGGAAGGGTAAGATTGCGTGTCCTTTCACATAGGGCTGAGGGATTCTGGGTAAAATATGAATCATGATTTTTTTCATTCGGGTTGAATCACAATTTTCACATTGACGTCATAGTTAAACGTGGTGTTCTACTGGACTACATTATATTCAGAGGTATTCCTAACATTCTGACCCTCTCATTTATGTAGCTAGGGAGGACAAAAATAGGGGTCTCTGAACAAAAAATTAAATGTGCAGCCCTACTTTCATACCACTTTAGTGTTGTCAAAAATTTAAAATTTTATTTAAATTAATTTTTAAGTGCTGATTGATATAAGCCATTAAAATAATTTTGCTTTAAATTTTGCTGTGACCTCTGCATTTGTATTCAGTACCTTACTATCTCAATGAAATGCTGAAGCAAATGTGTGTGACACAAAATGACTATTTTGACCAGTAAAAAATATGTTTTGCCCAGTGGATTTCTTTCATCTACCAGCCACCTCAGCCAGTGAGTCAAGAAGTTCATTTTGGACCCTGACTCTCTCATGTGTCCTAGCTTCCACAACATTTGGCAACAAACTGACCAGTCAATCAAAACACACAAATTATGACATTCCACCCCTCTGAAATTATTACTGTTGACTTTCAAGGGCCCTTTGTAATTCTGGTCCCCTGGGCTTCAGCTCAGGGAAGTCTGTGCATTAAATTGCTGCTGGAGAGGAACAGAAAGAGCAGTAAACAATTGCTACAAGTCCCAGGTCTACACTGTGCGCACTATTATTAGGTAAATGAATATTTTGACCATATCATTTTTATGCATATTTTCCAACTCCAAGCTGTATAAACTTGAATGCTTATTGGATTTAACCATATCAGGTGATGTGTATTTGTGTAATGAGGGAGGATGTGGCCTAAGGAGATCAACACCCTTTTATCAAGGTGCCATACTTATTAGGCAGCTTCTTTTCCTCAGACAAAATGGGCCAAAAAAGAGACTTAATGGACTGTGAAAAGTCAAAAATTGTAAATCTTTCGGAGGGATGCAGCACTCTTGAAATTGCTAAATATTGGGGCATGATCATAGAACCATCAAAAGTTTTATTGCAAATAGTCAGAAGAAATGTGTTGAGAAAAAAAAGATGCAAATTAACTACCAAAGATTTGAGAAGAATCAAATGTGACACTACCAGGAAGCCATTATCCTCTAGTGCTGTCATACTCCAGAACTGTAACCTACCTGGAGTCCCCAGAAGTACAACGTGTTCAGTGCTCAGAGACACGGCCAAGGTAAGAAAGGCTGAAACCTGACCACCACTGAACAAGACACAAGTTGAAACATCAAGACTGGGCCAGGAAATATCTGAAGACCGATTTTTCAAAGGTTTTATGGACTGATGGGATGCGAGTGCCTCTTGACAGACCAGATGGATGGGCCCGTGGCTGAATCATTAACGGGCACAGAGCTCCACTTTGAATCAGACACCAGCAAGGTGGAGGCAGGCTGCTGGTATGGGCTGGTAGTATTAAAGATGAGCTAGCTGGACCTTTTCAGGTTGAAGATGGACTCAACATCAACTCCCAAACCTACTGCCGGTTTTTAGAAGACACTTTCTTCAAGCAGTGGTACAGGAAAAAGTCTGCATCTTTCAAGAAGACCATGATTTTTATGCAGGAACTGACAGACTCCATGAATGGAAGGCTTATGACTGTTATTGAAAAGAAGAGTAGGTATATGCTGTGGCAAAATTATCTATTAAAGCTCAGTGAGCGTAAAATAAAAACTTAACATCAACTCTGAAAATTATTACACATTTATTCCTGCAGGAAGGAGCGATCTCAAAACAGAGTGTATAAACCAGTCTGATGGAGAGAAGCTCAAATGCACAAAGTGCGACTTCTCCTTTTATACGTTGCCCTCGATGGTTAGAGCCATCAGTTGAGGTGGCGCCGCAGATGGCTGCCATCAGTTCTATACCGGAAACAAATTCCTTGTGTGTAACATACTTGGCCAATAAAGGTGATTATCCTTATCCTTATACACGCACATAAAATTTCAGGGAACAAAGGCTCAAACAAATGGAAGACGAGATAACAGTTGCTTTCTTAAATATTCAGGCTTGATGTTCATTAACATTTTGGATTGACTGAGAGCACTGTAGTTGTTAAATAAAATGAATCCTCAAAAATACAACTTGCCTAATAAGTGCACACAGTGTACATATTTTACAGCAGGGTTTGTTAATATATTTGACTCATTAAGGCCGAATATAAAATACCATATGCAGTGTTGGCGTGTGTGTGTGTGTGTGTGTGTGTGTGTGTGTGTGTGTGTGTGTGTGTGTGTGTCAAACAGCAACAGCTTCCTCATATGCATGTGGTGGACAGATCATTGGTTGTGAGGCAGGGTTTACGTAGCAGAATCTTCTTTCTAACACCTTGTCATTTGCTGTGATCTGGGAATGCGGCCTCTCCAAAGACACCTCCATTGGGGCAAGAGTCAAAAATCACTGCACTGCATGCTAAACTGTATTTGGCCATATAAGTACAAATTAAACATGTGTTCATTTTCCAAGCAAAGTGAGTTTATCAAGCTGATACAGTGTAATGAAGTAGAACCCTTTCCTCACACATTACAAGAAACCTTAAAGCTGCAATATGAAAGTTGTGAAATCAAGCTAGTGCTAGCTAGAGAGCACACCTCTCTGCTCCTCCCATCCCTCCCTCTGCCTGCTCTGTTAACTCCCCCTCAGACCCTCAACTACATCTACATCAGGTTCACTATCTTAGATAATGTAAGAACTTGGAAGCTCTTCAGCTTGTGAGTCAGCCATAGTGACGTCCCAGCAGCGAATGATACTGTAGCTTGAAGCCTTGGTGCAATGGTAGACCAGACGTGTGTCACATATTGAGTGTCAGAAGTGAGCTTTCACCCATCACTTTGTCCTTTACTGATCAATAATAATGGCGAGTCTTGCTCAAAAGCCAGAAGGGAATACATTTGATGCCAGAAGGTTATATACACTTATGCTTAAGGCATTAAACCTAAAGAATTCACCACTCCAGAGACTCCATGTTACCATACATGTCTTTTGGCCTTCTAGTTAGGATATCTAACTTTTGTTTGGAACTAGTTTTCCCTCAGTTGATAAACAGATTTATTTCACTTGTAATTCATAATATCACAATTACAGTGGAGCTAAAATTTATATGACCCAAGTTCACTGTCTCTTCCAACAGCCCGGAAGCTTCTGAAAATTGATCTGATGACTTTAGAAGCATCAGGTTGGCTAATTGTCGTTATCGGGAGTAAAGTGGGGACACAGCAGTGGCTGTATTTAGAGCAGTCATTGTATCATTACAGAAGGAGAGCTATACTCTCTCCCAGTCAAAGAACTGTTAAAAATATTGGACTTGACTGGTCTACATCCACAGTAAAGACAGTGCTGATGAAGAAGCATCATGTCTTTAGCATCTCATAAAATTATGTGCGGATATTTTGAAATTTCATCCGAAGACAGCAGGCCAAAAGACGCAAATGGATCTCTCAGCAGGACAATGATCTAAAGTATACTTCCAAAATAAATAAAAAAAATTTAAAAAAATGGCTTAAGGCCAACAAAGTTAAAGTTTTAGAGTGGCCATCACAAAGCCTTGACCTTAACCCAGTAGGAAATGTGTGGGCTGAACTGAAAAAGAGGGTTTGTGCAAGGAGGCTCACAAACCTGAGTCAGGTGCGTGATTTATGTCAGGAGGAATAGGCAAACAATTACTCAAGTGTTGTGCAAAGCTTGTGGAAGGCCATGCCAAGCATTTGATTAAGGTTACACACTTTAAAGGCAATGCTGCCACATATTACCAAAGTGAGTGTAAACTTTTAACCTTCTGAGAATGTGATAAAGAAAATCTGAAATGTTAGGAAGTGTTGAAAATTGAGTTTGAATGCATTTAGCCTGGGTCTGTGTAATCTTCTGACCTCAGCTGTATCTGTGCACTGCTGCAAGGCTGTTCAGTAAGCCTGGGTCACAGAAGTCTTTGATAGCACGTCTCCATGTTAACATACGTTTTGGAACTTATTTTGACTACAAAATATTAGGGAAGGTTGTATACCTCAACTGACACAAAGTTTTTGACATTTTTCCTTTTTCATGCCTTTGCCTCTCCAGTCGTAAGAGACTGACAGACTGGGACACAGACATTACTCCTCTGGTTGGAGAGGAGCTTTTAGTTGAGGTCCTGGATGATATACCCCTCACCATGCACAACTTTGTAAGTAACTAGCAAGCACACATGTACTCTATTTTTTATGCCTTATTTGAGATGCCATATAGTTACACAACTCCAATCCAAATAGTTTTTGTCTAAATGTTATTAAACATTGCTGCTGTAGATATGAATATGGTGGCTTCTTTGTCTCTGCAGGTACGGAAAACTTTCTTCAAGCTAGCTTACTGTGATTTTTGCCACAAGTTTCTTTTTAATGGCTTCCGATGTCAGACGTGTGGCTATAAATTTCACCAGCACTGCAGTAGCAAGGTCCCTACTGTGTGTGTGGACATGGATACTATAAGCAAACGGTAAGTTGGGGAAGAAATGATCTGTATCATGAAGTGATTCTGTTGAGTTTATTAGTGGGTGTAAACCAGATGTGTTTCTGGTCACATGATGCCAACAAGGGTAAGAGTTATTATCTAACTTGTCACAGAGCTGCCACACCTAATGTAGGTAAGACGTTAGGGGCAAGCTGAATTTCCACTGAAGTTCCTTAAATCTTTCTTATACTATATGTAATCAACATAAAACAAAACACTCTGCAGGATCGGTTAAAGATTTTCAGGAGCTTTTACACTGCTCAAAAAAATAAAGGGAACACAAGGGAAAATAAGACATTCAACTATGTAATGAACAAGGTATTTAATAAGAATATTTCATTCATTCAGACCTAGGATGTCTTGTGTTCCCTTTATTTTTTTGAGCAGTATATATTGTTTATGTCACTCTAGGTCTTTTTGTCCCTTTTTATCTGTGATTTTATGAGGGGGATAACATCAAATTTTGTTTGCCAGTGTTAATTTTGTCACATTAAAATATAATTAGTCATAAAAAAAAGGTTGTTGATAAACATAATTTATCACAGTTTTGGTGAAAGAAATCACCAGCCACTGACTTACTCAGCTAGTGTGCTTGTCACTTTGTTTCTGTTTAACTTAGCTCGGTTTCAGCTGTGAAAGAGCAAACATTTCACATAGCCAGAATCTCACCAACTTGAAGTACTTACATCAGTGTCTTTGTTTGACCCCTTGTTTTATAATGCCTTTTTTGGCCCTGTCCCATCCCTTTTTTCCCTGTGTTTTGTCCAGGTGTGATCCCAATCCTTGCACAGATGAGTACCCTCAGATAATATTGCCAGATAATTCCCCTTCGCAGAGTAACATAGCCTTAATCTCGGAGCCTGCAGGGTGAGCACCCATACTGAAATTATATTTAAATTAAAAGGACACCATAGTTTTCTACTTAATTTTACACTGATATTCAAATATAAATTGAGTCTATATTACTTCATCACACAGGATGGACCTCTTGTCCCCAACGTCTGCCTTTACTTTCCCCATGCCTGGTGGAGATGGCCAGTCTCTACAGAGGCAGCGCTCCACCTCCACTCCCAATGTTCATATGATCAGCACAGTGGGCCCTGCTGGTGCCAGCATCATAGAGGTCAGTGTTGGCTGGTTGGCCCATGCTTTAGTTGCTTCAAGAGGATCTAGTCATGTCTGATGTACTGTATGTAGTCATTGGTTACAGTTTTCAGGCAAACCAAAATTGGTAGGGATGGGAGAAAAAATCAATTCACATTACTAAATTGATTCACAAATGCTAAACATTGATTTTTGTCACGATGTTGATGGAACAAAAAGGCAAAACTCAACCACGAAGCCAGTGTTGCGCACATACTAGAATGATGTTGTACATCTATAGTTGTAATGTTCATTCATCTTCAGACAAGGAATTCATTAGCATGCGTATTAATTACTTGATAATGAGCTTTGAAAGACAAGTGTAGAGAACTGTGTGAATACTTGGTATGCCCATCACCAACATACTGACATTAGCGTGGCGGAGCAGCGGCCGTATTAACAAACGAGCAGCTCAGCAACACGCACTGCAGCACTTCAAACTGGTAGGACAAAGAAAACACCTCATTTCTACAGACATGCTGGCTTTTTCTGGTAGTAACGGTGCAACACAGGTGCCATTCTCCACTCCTGCAGATGTAATGTTAACAACAGCATAACCTCGGTTTTGTTCCTCCACTTCCCCTTTACAAAACACCAACTACCAAAAACCAGCAGTAGACAGTAACCTGTGTATGAAGTTGTCTAATTTGACTTAACCATGCTGTGTTTCTCCTCTTTTTAGGAAGCCCTAAAATTGAACAGCATGATGGGTACGGTTGTATTTTTTTATTCCCGCCTTAGCCCCATTTCAGAATTTAGCATTTTGCAGTTTTATCTGTTTTGTTGTTCTGTTTTTGACTTCTCTCTCATTGTGCTGTGTCTCAATTCTGTAGGTCCTGAGCCCTCACCGAAGCCCTCCACCAGTCCACCCTCTTCTCTTGGCTCTCCAGGGAGGAAACCACCAAAGTCCCCTTCAGAGCACAAGGAGCGCAAGTCCTCTTCATCTGATGAGAAAAAGAAAGTGGTAGGTAGACTTTCATTGGTTGTTTTCAGACAGTCAGTCAGTAGTGGCTTCACACAGATCCATTCACAAACGGGTTGTGCAGAAAGGTTAGATAAAGGGGTTTGTGTGCTTTTAGTAGTTAAAAATATTCAACCCATGTGTTGTTTCAGCACCGAGGGGGCAACAGAGACTCAAGTTACTACTGGGAGGTCCACTCTCGGGAAGTCACCTTTCAGAAGAGAATAGGTGCTGGCTCCTTTGGAACAGTCTATAAGGGCAAGTGGCATGGAGACGTGGCAATCAAGATCCTGAAAGTCACTGAGCCAACGCCTGAGCAGTTGCAGGCCTTCAAAAATGAAATGCAGGTCTTACGGTGAGTAGTCTGTGATTTATGTAACTTGAAGTGTTTCATATTTGAAAAAGAGCACTGATAGCTGCAGTCTGCATGCTATTTATTAAATGGCTTTTGCTGATTTTTTTTTCTCTCTATCAGTAAAAGACAGTAAAAAAGTGACTATCTGTTGACACCTCTTTGACATCACCAGTTTTTATTGTTATCACACTTAAAATAATTAAGTGACTATACCTTCATCTTAATCTGACCTGAATGAGAGAGTGGAAATTCTGACACTACCATTTCTGTTCTCCGCAGGAAGACCCGCCACGTCAATATTCTGCTGTTCATGGGTTTCATGACTCAACCCAACTTTGCCATCATCACACAGTGGTGTGAAGGCAACAGCCTGTACCGCCATCTGCATGTCACAGAAACCAAGTTTGACACTATGCGTCGCATTGATGTGGCCAGACAGATAGCACAGGGCATGGAGTAAGACCCACTGCTAGATTCCATTTCCTAATTACTACCTACTCACTACTGACATCCTTTTTGCAGGTCTAGCCATCATCTGTCACTTGTGTATTATACAATATACAACTTTGTGCACTCAAATAATAATTTTCAGTTTGGTTAAGATAAATTATTTTATCAGATGCATCATGTTAACCTTCATAAACTTTCAAAACATTTGTATATTTCTTAAAATCTTGAGCTTGTTTTACCTGTTTCTGATCACAGATGAAATCAGTGATTTACACTTTCTCTCTTTCACAGTTATCTTCATGCAAAAAACATAATTCATCGAGATCTGAAATCAAACAGTATCCTTTTATTGTCCACTGGTGGGTTTAAGCTACCAGTTAAGAACTGCGCATGTGAGAGAGACCTATGTAGGTGTGAGTTTAGGCTGCTGTAGACTCAACCACAAACAAAAATGTCTATTTTAAATACCATGTTCTGTAGCTAGCAAACCATGAACATGAATCATATCCTTTTCATTTTTGTGCTCGCACATACACCCACCGTGACTGTTTGTCATTCACCTCGCACCGCAGCATGGCATGTGTTATAGTATAATGTCTGTAGGTGGTGCTCAGCCTACACTCACAGGTACAGCACCTCATGAATAGACAAAGTATAGCCCATTGGATGCTACAGTATATGAATGCCTGTTTAGAAGTAAAGAAAAAGCCCTGTGGTCATGCTTCATTTTGTTTTAAACTCTGATTAAATTGTCTGTGGATTGTAATGTTAGTTTAATATTTGGTAGATTTTCCTTTGGACAAATGAGCCAAACCTCTTTCCTATAAAAACTACGCTCCTAGAGTATGCAACTAAACTGCAAACACATAAGTTTTGAAGGGAACGTATTTGATTGTTGGATGTGTAACATACCATTTAAATGACCCCTCCCTTATAGCCTACTTCTTAGGTCAACATGTCTCCTAAAATGTTTTTTTTTTTTTTTTTTTTTTTTTTTTGGAATCATGTTTGATTGTTGTATAATCTGATGTATCGTCTTAATGAATGAATGAAGTGCTGCATTTTTCTATAGACACAGCAGCCAGTTGTTACTGTTTATAGAGGGTAGCAGAGCTGCAAAATGCCCACATATTGCATCATGCATAGACTGCCTTATTGGTGCTGACAGTGAGCACACTAGTTGCACTGGACTATTTGTGTTATGTGTACGTTATGCAGGTTGATGTTTGTGTGCTGTCACAAACAGAAGGCAGCAGAGGTGATTTTCAACTAAAGCAGAAGTGCGTGCGCTGGTCCTAGCCTGACTGAACACAGTGAAGCTCAACTCAACCTCCTGTCTGTTAAAAACACCCAGTATATTTGTCAGCAACACTTTTGCATTTAACGTGCTTTGATGATCCTGCGATCATAACAAACTGTTTTACATGTGTAGTACACCTGTGAGTGATCAGCTGTGCGTGGTGCACTGAGGCTACAGAATGGCCAAAAACGCACGCGGCCGGGAGCCACAGTCACAGCTGTTGTGTTCATTGTGGCAGGTTAAGAACTGACATGGGCTACTGCACGGTGTATATACCTACTGCATAATGCGCTCTCTGTTTTTTATGGGTTTATGTTCTGTTATGTTGGGTCAGCAGTGTAAGACATGGCTCCCCATTTTCATTTACTCCCCCTATTTTAAGACATACACACAGACCAGCCAAGCATGACTTGTTCATTCCCAGACATTAGACTTTGAATAGAAAGTGCTGTTTTGTAAGAAATGTCCCCATTGTTTTCTGTGGATAGATTCCTTTTTACAATTGAGTTCTTACCATTTTTTGTGATTGTGGAAGCTAGTACCATGAATTTAAATACAAGTTGTCTTTTGAAATATTTCCTGAGCTCTGCTGTTAGATATTTTTCTCCATGAGGGCTGGACTGTTAAGATCGGTGACTTTGGCTTGGCCACAGTGAAGTCACGGTGGAGCGGCTCTCAACAGGTTGAACAGACCAGTGGCTCCGTTCTGTGGATGGTAAGCCTCTCGTTTAGACTATCTGACCAGCCAGCCGTGTTCAGCTACCTAAGTTCTGATAAATATTCAACTTAAGCAATCATGGAAGCATGGAAGTGCTGATTCTGTTTTATCCTCTGTTTTGCCAAGGCTCCCGAGGTAATCCGGATGCAGGACAACAACCCATATACGTTCCAGTCTGATGTTTACGGCTATGGAGTAGTCCTGTTTGAGCTGATGTCAGGGACCTTGCCTTACTCCAGTATCAACAGCAGAGACCAGGTTACGCCCAACCCTGCTTTGTGTTAACACTGAATCAGTCTAAAGCACAGTATCTGATTATCCAATTTCTGAAAATTTTGATCTTTGAGTCAACCAAGTCTAATTTAAAATGAATAAAATATGTTGGTTGGGTGACTAGACTGTGTTACTGTGCACAGCAAGGCTAATAGACACATGACGCATACAGCGGCAGAAGAAAGTGAAGTGTTTTTACAAGACTAGGTAACACTGAAAGCTTAATGATGTGGTCTTTCCGAAGTCCTCACATGCATTAACCTAAAGTGTAACAGTGGAGGGTGATGGTCATGAAGATGACTCAAAAGATTTCAAGTATTGCCCACACTTGGGACTTACTCTTCTTACAAGTCTCCATAGCATCGTCACTCAGACTGCCACTGCATTCTGTCATGTTTTCACTGACCCAAACAAACCCACATTGCATAATGCACTTACACCTGAGAACCTCTAGCTGACTTTGGTTGATCCTGGACATTATTGGACCCTTCTGCGGTCATCAACCATGACAGTGATATTTAAAATCTGAAGAGGTAAACATTAGCCATTGGAAGTTTTACCTTGGTTTACTATGACATCGGTAACTGTTTCATCCCTAGGTAGCACTGGATAGAAAAGTCATCATGATTAATCCCCTGGAAGCCATGAATGTCTGTACCAAATGTCATGTCCCTCCACCCATTAGTTGTGGTAATAATTCACTCTGTCTGGATCAAAGTGTTTCACTAACTGACCAACAGATGGAGAGACATTGATAATCATAAATGGTAGTTGCCTGACATTTGCCAGCTGTATCATTTTAAGACTTTTGACCTGGTGGTGGACATTGCTGTCTGTACTCTTCTTGTCTTTACTGTAGCTGATGGCAGTGATCCTGGCACTTTTTGCCAGCATGAACAGCACAGTCAGAGTTCTGTAACTGTCTCCTCTGTTTTTCTCCTCAGATCATCTTTATGGTTGGACGTGGTTACTTGTCTCCTGACCTTAGTAAGCTGTATAGTACCTCACCCAAGTCAATGAAAAGGCTTATTATTGACTGCCTGAAGTTCAAACGTGATGAGAGGCCCCTGTTTCCACAGGTGAGTAGTATATACTGTAGGTTGCCCTGTTCACAGCTGTGGCTCTACATGTCAGTGTCCTTGGGCAAGTTGCCTCCAGTGATATCACCTGTTTGTGGAAATGGGTTAATGGTGTAAAGTGCTTTGAGTATAAGACTGTTTACCATGTATTAAATGGTATATGCTCAACTGCACAGAAGAAGCTCTTTCAACTCTTCATTTAAACATTCTCGTCATTTGTAAAATCCAGACCAGGTGAATTGAGGGTGACACCCACATGTGCAAGAACACCATACGTAAATCTTGCATTATCAGATCTCTTTACATTTGCTTTCCTTCATCAGATCCTGGTGGCCATAGAGCATGTGCAAGACCTGCTGCCAAAAATTGAGCGGAGTCGCTCAGAGCCATCGCTCCATCGGGCTGTCCATGCTGAGGACCTGAATCCCCTCCTGTTACACACCACCAGGCTGATGCCCCTCTAAGCCCTTTGCAGCACTGGGCAGAGACCACAGCATTCCCATGCCTCAGAGAGTCTACAGCTGGCTGTCTGACAGGCTGCGACACCCCCCTCCAAAATCACTCTCTGCCCCTGCACAACCCTGGAGCTGCACCACTCAGCACAAAACTCAGTAACTGCAGAAATAACCTTAATATTTGCTTAGTCTAGTGACACCTTTATAATGCATCAAACAGGTTGGCTTGCATTACATACTCGAACCTACTGGGAGAGATGTTAAGTTGTTTAAAGGAAAATATAAAATGTTTCGCATGTACACAGCAAAATTGTGTTGCCCATTTTCAGTTTTACTCAGACATTTGAGGTGCACTTTAGCCAACAATCCAAGTCGGTTCAACAGCCATAATGCTGGGGCTGCTAGTTTAGGTCACTTGATCAGCTGCCGCATTTAGCTGTCATGCACCCCGTCCAGTATGCTGCAAGATAAAAGAGGCTGGAGATCTGAAATGTGAGAAAAGTGATTTGAAATCCGACTGAGTGCCTGTTTGAGGGTGTTTTTGTAGAAGATGTGACGTTTTGTCACAAGAAGTATATTTAACCATGACAGCAAAGTAGTATGAGACAGAGGAAGATAATGCCCAAACTACCAGAAACCTAGAAGAGGTTGGCAACTTCAGACACTGAACTCTGCAAATAGGTTTAGTGAGAAATAGTTACTCTGCACATAGAGCATATAGTGAAGGGCTTGGTGGAAAATGACAGTGACCTTCATGAAACTACAGAATAGCTTCTGTGGGTAGATGTCCTCAAGTAGGCACTCAATTGTGTTTCAAATCACCAAGTTCATCTTGGACCTGAGTCACCATTTATATTGCAGTGGAGTAATAAAAAGTTAAAATACCAAAAGAGCATTTGACCTGGTAACCCAGCAGGGCTTGGCAAAATTAGCTGTAGATCCAATTCAGAACATGTCTGTTAAGGCACTACTGTGTGGACTGTGGAGGGGTAGAGAGAGAGAGAGAGATTCTAATTCAACATATCTATTTAGTTTTAAAACCGTATTGACTGGGACCAATACAATGGAGCAAGTCAAACTTGTTTCAGATATTTTCTTCAAAGGAACCAAAAACTAAACAGCGTAATGTCCTGTATGTTAACCCATGATCAGTTCCTGAAACAAATAGATTTCATGTAACTTGCAATGTTATTTACCTGGCTCTACTGGAATTTCTTTCAGCTTTTGTAATAAGTTCTGACCATAGACTGTATATTATGATGGACAAAGTCTCACCACTTCTGCCACGGTGCAGCGGCAGCCAGCTTGCTTTTGTGATGTATTTTTCAACTGAATTTTGCACAGTAGTGAACAGAGGTGGAGCTGCTGTATTATACCAGCAATCAAAACTGTTATGTCGTGCAAAAATATACCCCTCTATATCAAGTAGTTAATTAAAATGATGTCCTAATACTGCAACATTCCATCAGGGGGTGGGGGGGTTCAATTGTGGTGGCTTCAGTCTGAGACCTGTCATTATGTACAGTCTATGGTCTAATACAGGACTACATTGTTAGGACCAATATTTTTTGCAGTCTCTGCAAAAGGATCATTCCAGCATTCATCGCTGCCAAGCCAAAATATTACAACACATTTTTGCCAGTGCAGAAAACCCCCTTTTAAAACCTCTGTTGGATCATCACAGAACACTACACTCAGTGGGATATTAAGAGAATGTTCAGGTTACTAAGAAAATCCAGATTAGGTCACCAGTAGATTGGTTCTTTAACAACTATGTAAAGCTCCAGCAGGTTGAAATGTAATCTTGTGTAAAATCAGTTCAAGTCGTTGGTCTCCCTCCAACACACAATGACTGGAACACATTTATATAGTAAGGCACAGACTTTACAGCTCTCAGCTGAGAAGACCGTCAGACTTGAGGAACTCTCAGCATTTTATTCCACATACCCCTTTTCATTATTTTAAAATCGGAATGCCATCACACTCCAGATTGCAGGTTCACAGATGAGAGGGCTTTTACTTAGGTTGTTTCTTAAATGAATGTCATTTTAGCCTTTGGAGGAAGTGACAGATCTCATTAAGATACAATGTGTATGTAAATAGTCCGGTGCGTTGCTGCTATGTTTAGTGATTTTTAGGAGATGAGGCATACACTACCAGTCAGAAGTCTGGACACACTCGCACCCATTTGGTTTATTTGGAATGTGTGCCCAAACCTTTGATGGTAGCCACGGCATACAACTTCAAGTCTTTTGCAGTCAGGTCTTGAAATAGATTCTTAATGCCCTCAAACATTGCACTATGGATCACATACATGCCCATACACATACTTTAGTTAGTACTGTAGTTAACTTGGTTTATTGGTCGCTTGGGTTTGGAGGCACTGTGGGAGGTGTGAGAAGTGTGAATAAGGACCTACAAATGCTTAACTCAGTAAGCTTCACATGAACTAGGCTACATGGCATGTCATCAGAGCACATCTGTTTTAGGTGGCCGCACTCAGAGGCGGCATGAAAAACCTTCTACATTGCAAAAGTTGATGGATGAAATTGTGTGCAGAGTGACAGACAGTCTGAAAGAGGATGAAATCCCAATTCCTCTGATCTGGACAATCAGTGTTTTGTTTCAGGACATTGTACAGCGGTGCGGTCACAGTTCCACCATTGAAACAGGAGTTTTAGATGCTGTAGAGAATCAAACCAGCACTTACCAGCCATCCTACTGTTCACTTTATGTTGTTACTTGGGAAGTTCAGTACATCAGTGTTTAGCTTCAAATCCAAAGACTGTGAGCATTTTCCAGTTGTTGGTGTTGAGATGCTTGTGCCTGTTGTCACCTTTGAAACGGTTATAGTCAACCAGGTCACTGTCCACTTCAAGTTTTTTTTCCAAAAGCTGATATGTTCACGAAGCAAAAATGTCAGGTGGAATTTGTTTTGTGTTCTCAGATGTGTGTTCTGTAGAAACCAACATTCCTGAAATGGTCAGATTTGTAGAAATGAATGAGAGAATGAGATGCAGAAGCTTTAGCCAGAGTTGACTGTACTGTCGGTAACATCAGGGCTGGTAGTGCTTTCAGGCAGAGTAAAGGTTGGACTTGGTGCAGTTTGGTTTCCAAGCATTTTAAGGTCTGGATGGAAAAGATTAATTTTGGGAAAGCAAACTCCATAGAAGTAGAAATGTGGGTGATGGCAATAGAGTGTATCAGCAGTTTGCCCAGTAGACATGGACCTGTAAATGTACAGTTTGTTCACAGCGGCTGGCTAGTTTCCAGTTTTGTCTGAAATGAATTTCAGCTTTTGGCTGTTGAAACGCCGTTTGTCCTATGTAGATGTGTTATTGTTGGCCATTGTACAGCTAGAAGTGCCTCTTCTTCTGGCTTGATTGTTGGGTGGAGACCGATACTGAGTGAGGGAAGAGCAACACCTGCCTTCAGGGGTTTGGACCACAGCCCAAAGCCAGACATTTTTCTCCAGATGTTTCCTATTTCCACCGCGCTGTCTTGTGTGTAACTGTTTTTGTTCCTGGATTTTAAACTGAGGCAATTGGTCTGTTCTGTTGTTTTTAAAAAACAAAAAAAAACAACAATTTTCTTTATGAATGTCAGCAGTAATCCATCAACACAGAGTTTGCTGCTCTCTGGCGTAATAGGTCATCTTGGAAGTATTAGCTTTATGATGCTAATGAGTCCTGCCTTTTAGCATCACGCTGAAGTTAGTAGTAGATAGCAGCAGCAACAGCAGCTGTGAGGGTGACGTCTTTGGTGGTGTTGTGTGAACTGGCTGCGCTTCTCTATACTGTATATGATGTATAAACAGAACAGATCTTAATGTCTGTGTTAGTCATTAATCAACTGCCAACACATTTAAAGACATTAAAACATTGATATTTTAATGTTGTGAAAGTAGGGGCTGGGAACCCTAGCTGTTCTTACTCATTCCAGTTATATAGGTGGATGGTCGTTTTGGGGGTGGGGGATTTATGCACCAGGGCTGGGAAAGACTTAGCTGCTGTCTTTCTCTTATTTATTGATGTGTTTGCTGATGTTCTTGTGTGACCGCAACTCTTTGAGGTGGATTAATGTTTAGAGAGAGATCACCCTTTGGAAACATTGATGTCGTCACCAGGGGCTCTTTCCATCCAGAATGTTTTTTAGGCATGGTACTAGCCGTTCCTTCACATGACTTCCTCTGATACCATTTACTGCAGGGGTATTTCTGATCACTTTCTGACAAACGTCTTGAGTACAAACTAGTCATCAAACTTTTTAGCAGCATTTTGTTCATAGGGTTTCACTACGATAGCATTTACAAACGGCAACACTTCAGAATACTGTAAAAGTAACTTATTGTGGCAGGCGGTGTGTTAAACTTGAGCATGTCCTGTTAAGTGTAGCCTTTACATATTTGAACTGCCTAGGGCTGCTGAATGGAACAAACCCAGCTTTTTTTAAATGAGCTGCTTTTATTACCTTTGAGCAATAGCAAGGACAGAATGTCTTTTTAAAATGTCTAGAATGCAAGATCAGGAGTGCTTTACAATAATGTCAGACCAGGTTTCCTGTGAATCGGTGACAGAAGTGCATCGCCACTCACAGGGACTCACTGTAGTGGAGGACTCTTATTTCCCTCTTCAGAAAGGCTGTTGAATCATTTTGGCTCAGGTTTTTGTTAGCGAGGGCTATGAAACAAGAAGTGTGTTCATCTAGTATCGTAAGGAGGAGGGAATAAGTGCCTCAGGTACTGGAAATCCCTGTCAGACATGGACCTGAATGACTTCATGACACATTAAAAGATACTGTACTGCCTCTGGAGAGTTGCACGGAGCACCAGAGGGGGAAAACCAGACGTACAGTAACAGCTGTAGGTTTCAGAGAAGAAGAGGTTGAGTGAGCTGTATCAGTTGTCTTTTCATATCTGTAAAGTAAATTGCAATATGTGTGTTTATAGTTTGAGGTGTCAGGGGTGTTCAGTTTGCAATAAACGGTGTATTCTGCTGTGTACAGTTACATTTTTTTTTAATGACAAATTGTACTTGTTTCTATTTTTTGTGTGGTTTCAAAAAGAACAAAATTATTTTAAGTGTAAAGGAAATCTTAGTATTTTTTTAGTTTTGTCTTAAAATATTGTAGGAATTATTCTTTAAATAAATTCATCTGTGTTACTTGCTTGTTTTCAACTTTTTGTACAAGCTGCTTGCCTGTTTTCTGAGACAAATATTGACAAATTGTCTGTTACATGATGAAATATTCTAGGTCTTAAATAGTCTTAAACAGTGACAGAGAAACTGTAATTTTTACAGGAACCAAGTTATGGTTGAAGGCCAAAAGCGGAAGTGGTTATATTTATAGCTACACCACAGATCAGTGAACAGCAAGCTCAGACGGGAAGTGCTGGTCTGCTGAGAACATGAAGATAGTCAAAATGGAAGCTAGAGTACAACACTGTAAATGGTACTTTTATTGAAAATATAAAGGATTTTGAGAAGTCTGTAGACAAATGTTGACAGTGTTTTACAGAAACTGTTTTTCATAATTACTGTTGTAGAAATGTATTAATTGCTGTCATTTCAAAGCTCCAGCTGAAATTTACATAGCTTGATCTCACTATAACAGAAAGATGCAGGTGCCACATATTATACATTCTTTCTTTTGCAGTCCATGAAAGTCACTAAAGTGGAATGAAGCATGATTATGATAAAGCTGTCAATGTGTTTAAAAAGTCCTTTTAAACTTACTGTACACATGACTTTTAAAGGACAGAACTATACGACATTAACTCTAAAATATGAAAGTAAAAGAAAAACAGTGAGTGAAAAAGAATGAAATTGTGTTAAGAGAACATACTCGCTAGGTAAAATGTTAGTTTAAATATGAAGCAGAAGATAACCGCATCTTTTTGGCAGAGTTAAATTTATATGTATAAAAAAACAAAAACAAACAAAAAAAAAAACGGATCAACTTGTCAATTTGGTTTGTGTCTATGTTCTTGTAGTTGTTACTTGACCTGTGAAAACCAACACTAATATTTGTGGCACTTCATAGCACATTGGAAAGTTGGTCCGACATTGGTAAGCAGTGAAAATATCAATGCTGCAAGGTCAGTGTGTGAAATAATTGTTTTAAAGTTTGTTTCAAGAGCAAAATATTTTCTTGTGAAAAAGATTTTTTATCACTGATAGTGAGCAGACCTGGACAGTCTTAAAACTGTCTTAGGTTTTGACAACAAGCTGAAAGTAACAGCAAATGAACCATCCTTTTAAGTACTGCCCACCATTTATTTTCATGTCTACTTTTGGCACATATAACACCCTGAAAAATCCCCACAATGGAACAATGTCTAGTCTTCTCCCTTCTGCTAACACCCCCACAATGTAGTGCAGTTTAATAATGCAAAACATGGCATGCCACACTACACTTGTCACTACTTATCCACAATCTCAGTTTAGCACATGCCATAATGTGAACTACCAATTCTGTTCCACAGAGGGAGTAGTGAGCTGATAGAGGGATTTGAGACACGACATAGGCTAACTTATTAGCAACATTTGCACATTTACAGATCCAGTGAACAGGAGCAACATGAGTGTCATTTAGTCTCATTTCTAGTCACTTGATGAAGATAAGCCCAGTGTCCACTCTTCTTTTAGCTCTGGTCTAGTCACTAACATTGCAGCTGGTCTTATGATAGGTAAGGTACAATGGGTTCATCAGAGATTTTTTGATGAAACATGCCACCGACTAAACAAAGTTGATGCACTTGGATTAAGAATGGAGAAGTTTAAAAAAAAACATTTGGTGGTTACATATAGTTTAGTATCTTCATCACCTTACCTCGATAATGCAGAGCACGATGACTGAAATCCCAATGAATAGGAAATGCTCTTCGCACCAGTTCCTAACCCTAATCAAACAACCCTGCAAACAGACAACATCCATTTGAGATGAACTGCAATCAGCAATCAAATTCTGTACAATAATAAGACTGTGACCCTGACCTCTTCAGTACACCAAAACAAGCCTTACTGTGAGCTGTTCATATGAGTTACACTGTGTCTACCTGTGGCCAGTAGGTGGTGGGCTCTGTAGGCCTGCGGCAAGATGATGGCACTCTTTCTCCCCAGTCCGTCGCATTCATGATTCCACAGCATTGGAGCTGTAACGGATCGTTCAGAGAAAACACACAGTGAGATCATATACTCCCAGTATACTGTGTCACTTCATTATGTATCACACACTTACATTCGTCTGGACCCAGTTCCACGTATTGATCACCTCTGTTGAATTGCTGCTCTGTCCTTTGGCCTTTTCCAAGCTAGCACTGAGATTGTCTTTCACCGTAGCATCTACCTAAACACAAACAGTGAGGTGTGACTTTACATTGTGTATAAGGTGTTTACTGTATAAGCACAATCTAGTCAGTAGTCATGGATGTGACCCTACCTTATTGTCATATATGAGTAACAGGCATGCTGCAGTCAGCTCCGCCAACATCATCAAAAACAGCAACACGAAAAACTGTCAACAGAGGATATTTCAGCCCATGTATTTTACCTTGTTCAGTTGCATTGAAATATAAGACAGAAACACAATATGCAACATAGCTCTTATTAGTTTAGTTCATTAATCTTATTTGTAGTAATGAAATTGCATTCTTGTAAGTATATTGAGGAGCCCAGAGACATCAATGAAAAGTCCCCACTCTACCATTTGACGTAGAGCCACAAGGCAGTGTAGCCGAGCATATGATCAAAACACCCATGCCTTGAGTTGTCTATGCAAAGTCCTGCACATTGGTGGCATCTGGCCACATGTTAATGCTCCACAAAAGCTGCAGTTTTATCACACTTGCTGTGCACATCAGCACCTCTCGGCTACTGTACCCTAACTCTCGTACTGTGTGACACACTGATGCCTTTTCTAACCATCTGAGTTTGCAGTGCTTTGTATGTTCTTTAACTTTGACTTACAGTATTTAATACAGTTAAACACACATAATTCTCCTAAGCTCATTTTGCTCCATAATTTTATCATCTGAGAAACATTAGTGAGATAATTATGCTAACATGGCTAATATGACAGCATTTACCAGGTGATGAACTCAAAACATCAAAAATGTCATGGGATCACCAAGTCAGCAGGATTTATCCACTGGTTACAACATTTCATGGTATTATAGGGGGTCTCAAACTGCCTACGCTTTCCTGTGCAATGAGGGATTCTTACTGATATTTCAGGAGCACTTTCTTTCGGTTTTTACCTCCAGATGAAGTGGTTTAGATCCCTGGCTAAACTGACAGCTTGTTAACAACCTATCTGACTGCTGCTGTTTCCCTGTTGGACTCTGCTCTAATATTGTGGACACTGACAGAAAACACGGTAAACACCACAAAATTAAGACCTAACTAGTAATAAACCTAAATTAAATTATTTTTTAATACTAATACAATATGTAGATACAAAATAGAACCATTTTATAATGTGTCAGATGTTTCAAAGTAACCATTGTTCTTCTAGTGGTATATAGCCCTGCACGTTTGGGTTTTACTGGTCCCAGTATAAATAAGAGACTACTTTCTACAAAAAATATCTTTTTTTTAACAGCTGTCTCTCCAAACACCCCATCATCATACGTAGTCCATATATTTAAGCCTTTATAAGTCAGTCAAATCAGTTAGTTCCACCACGGCCTAGTGTAGCTATCTACACAATGGTTGTGAAAATATGAGTCAAATTTGGCATAACATGTCACATAGATGGGTCCAAAATATGGGAATCACCATGTTAAGGTGACAGTATACAAACGTCAAAGTTGCCTGAAACATGAAGTCTAGGCACCAAGTTTGCTCTGTGTGTGTGTGTGTGAGAGAGAGAGAGAGAGAGAGAGACACTGTCCTACCATCAGGAGGAGACAGCGGTTCTCCTTCAGAGCACCCAGGAAGCCCAGGAAGGACACACAAGTAATGATGATGCCAGTGGTGAGCAGTATGTTGTTCAAGTTGAAGATGGGCAAGTCAGGGAAGAGTGCGGCTACCTTAAAGTTGACCATCATGAACACACCAAAGCCCAGCAATGCCACACCACTCAGCTGATGAGAGCAAACGCACAACACAGTCACGTCTTCACAGAAGCATTCACTCAGTTATTATTAACAAAACATAAAATACACATGAATGCATCATAATAATAATAATAATCCAGTCATCAGGGCTACTTTTATTTATGATACTACGTTTTACTTATGATACATTTACTAAAGTAAAGGATCTAAATTCTTCCTTCACCACTGACTTCTTCCTTCTTTCCATGAGGTTCAGTCATGTGTGTATTTGTACAACTACTGCTTAAAGTGGCTGAATTTGGACATTTAGACCATTTCTGTGTCATTAGCTAAGCTGTACCTCAACATTTCTACATAGCCCCTAACAACTCTGTTTGATCAAACTAGATACTAACAACATGTACCATCATGACTTCTGAATGTGATGCTGAGTGACTGAGACATACGTACAAAACAAAGGAAGTTGGTGACACACATGGTGTACTTTAAACACTTGAGGCAGCCTTGAGCCATTGCGTAACAGTTCTGATCAGACCTGCAACAACAAACACACAATCATATTGACTCATCTCCACCCTTAAAAGCAGCCTACTGTTTAGTAGTGATGGGACGTACTGCAACGATGCTTGGAAGCCTGTGCCCACAAATCCCGGAAGTGTTTAGTGAAGCGCGTATCGAAGCGTGTATTGTTTACGAAAAGGGACGTAATCGATTACGTTTGCAGCCTCGCTGCGTGTAGCGATTCGGGAAGTGGTTCAAATTTTGCCGCGATGTATTGGCAGATATAAAGCCCAAGGAATCTCCACACAATTCGTGGGTAGTGTTGGAGTTGTTGGAGTTGTGAGAGTTCGTGAGTTACGTATTTCCAAAAAAGAGGAATTGCTGAAACCCCACCATTGTTGAACAAATACTGTTTTTAAATAAAAATAAATAAAGTCTCCCAATGAGCTTTGGGTCATGACCGAAAGGGCAAGATCCCGGATACAGGCGGCCGAAATGAGCTTTCTCCGCAGGGCGGCCGGGAGCACCCTTAGAGATAGGGTGAGGAGCTCGGTCACCCGGGAGGAGCTCAGAGTAGAACCGCTGCTCCTCCACATCGAGAGGAGCCAGCTGAGGTGGCTCGGGCATCTGTTTCGGATGCCTCCTGGGCGCCTTCCTAGGGAGGTGTTCCGGGCATGTCCCACTGGGAGGAGGCCCCGGGGAAGACCCAGGACACGCTGGAGGGACTATGTCTCTCGACTGGCCTGGGAACGCCTCAGCATTTTCCCGGAGGAGCTGATAGGGAGGTCTGGGCATCTTTGCTTAGACTGCTGCCCCCGCGACCCGGTCCCGGATAAGCGGAGGAAAATGGATGGATGGATGGAAAGTGTCCCCCTACATCAGTGGCACAAGCACCCTCACTGCCCTTCTCTGTTCACAAGCATATTCACTTTTCTCTTCCTTGTTAACACTGCCACAGTTTGGAAACATAATTGGCCCCTGTCATTATATGACTTTTTCAACTATTGATGTAAAGGAGGAGGTTCACCTTGGTATGTGTACTACTACCACGGAACTTTGATTAGAGTTTATCAGCCAAGAAACTCTTATGCACACTATTTACAAACAAGCACAAACACGTTAATAAGGGGAGACAAAACCACATGGTTTGAATGGGTTAATATCTTGTGCTCACAAGAGGATAATGCATAGTTAAATGGCAGTCATTATTCCCATGTCCAAACTGTGGCGAGACAGCTTTGAGAGCATCACATAGAGCTAAAACCTCCTGCTACGGCTTCTGCGTCTTCTCCTGCTGCTGCTTTTTTTTTTTTTTAATGTTTTTATTAAGCAAAAATGTAGAACAGTACAGAGTTTCACATTACAAATCGTTGCAATAGATGTATAACAGCGGATTTAGAGTATAATATGACAAAATTAGGCATATAAAAAGGAGGTGAAAAAGAACAATAACATCAAATAAGTGAGAACAAAGAAAAGAAAATACAAGGAGGTAAAGCTATTCAGATATAAAATTAAAATGTTTAAGCAGGTCAATGGTTTTGGTTCGTTTCTTGTTGGGGTGGTTTGATTGTAACAGTAAATGGAAGTAGTTGTTGAGATCAGAGTGTTTAAAGGTTGAAAAGGATGGTGATTTTTTCAGAAATTTCATTTTATGGATGAAGAATTTGGCCAAAATAATGAAAAGATTAATAACAAATTTTTCATTGCTAGAGAAATGAGGCTTGTCAAAAATTAATAATATATTATATTCTTTAAGTACAATTTCCTTTCCAAGATAATTTTTGAGATCAAAACAGAAGTCAGTCCAAAATACTGTTACATGTGCACACTGAAAAAAAAGATGTTCTAAAGTTTCTAGCTCATTGTTGCAAAAGGAGCATTTTTCTTCTATGTTTGGAATGTATTTACAAATAATAGAGTTTACTGGGTAAAATTTATGTAAGATTTTAAAGAAAAGTTCTTTAGTTTTGTTGGACAAGACAAATTTGTAGGGCAAAGTAAAAACAGTGTTCCATGTTCTTCCACCAAGAGTCTGGTGTGGCCATTTATGTTTAACAGCTGTTGTTGTTCTTGGAATGAGGGAGTTTCTTATAAAGATGTTGTTGAATCTTTTTTCAAAGATAGAAGTGCCATTAACAGCAATATCTAAATTGATAGAGTTGTGTGTGTTTGAGAAGGAGCGTGCTAAACAGAGAATGCCAGACGGAAGTGCATTAATAACAGTATTATACTCATGCTGGGAGACCTCGCCATCACTAATGTTCAGGCCCTTAGTTTCTGTATGCGTCACTGTGTGGGGTGACGTTGACCAAGCATGATGCTCACCCTGCACTGGTGTCACATCTCATTTCCTGTGTTTACTTTCAGTTTACAGGCACTACCTGCATTTCAAATAGGTCTTGGGGCTATTAAACACCACATGGATACATTATAGTTGCTGATGATATCACAGGGGTGTGGTCTACTGTGGAAATACCCCAGGTTCCTCAAATATGACTTTAATACTTTTTTAGTGGGTAAAATAAAAACAAACTCCCCATAAACCGATAAGTTTCAGATGTTAATTATATCATAAAAAAATATCATTTTTTGAGTGATCTTTGTTATAAGAAACTAGAATTACCAAATAATAGCTCCCATATTTTAAATGAATTCATTTTCAGTGGAGTGAGTATTTTTACAAAGTTGATACTTTGAAATAATATATTGTTTCTAAGCTTGGCAGAACAGTGACACGGTGGTTAGCGCTGTTGCCTCACAACAAGAATGTTCCAGGTTCAATCCCAGCTGACCCATGGCCTTTCTGTGTGGAGTTTGTATGTTCTCCCTGTGCCTGTGTAGGTTCTCTCTGGGTACTTTGGCTTCCTCCCACAGTCCAAAGCCATGCAGCTTAGGTTTAGTGGTGACTCTAAATTGCCCCTAGGAGTGAGTGTGTGTGGTTGTTTGTCTCTAAGTGTTAGTCCTGTGATAAACTGGCTACCTGGTAGGGGTGTACCCCACCTCTCACCCAGCGTTAACAATCTAAACATTCACATTCAAACATCAAGAAGAAACATATCAGGGTTGAGACATGAAGTTCGGGTCTTACCTGTTTGGGAGAATAATCCGTCAGTGTGTTTTGTCAGTTTGCTGCTGCCTGCACTTCCCCTTCTCTCAGTGCGATGGACTGTGCTGCACATACGGGGTGTTCACCAACTCATCTCACTTCCTCTTTCTCAACATTAGCAAATCTGTACTGAGAAAGTACAGAGGGGAACAAACCAAAATATCTATAGCAAAGACAAAAGACACGCTGCTTATATTTAGATAAAGTGTATGCTCAGAAACAAGGCCTGCACTGACACAATCAACCTGGGGTGAACAGCTGTACGGTTAATAAACAGTTTGCCCAAAGCTAAATGTTTGTATATTTATCATGTAAAACTCAAATAAAGGTACATGTGTAGATGTTTGAGATCATGACTCAGCTATGGGTCAATAATGAAATATTTATGTGGGTTTCACAATCTATAGGCCTATTGTGACTTTAGAATTATAAGGTTCTATCTGACATCTTTGTCAAAAATGAGTTCTTCACAGTGTGTACTGATGATGACAGGGATCACAGTCCCAGCTCAAACAGTCTGATCTGGTCTAAGCGGCAGAAAGAAAGAAAGACAAACAGCAGACAGAGGGACAGCAGTAACCAGAAAACATGTTATTGAACTAACATCTGAAGGTACTATTCACATACAGTCACTAGTGGAAGTATTCAGATACTTTACTGAAAGCTACTCTAATTTTTTTGCAGCCACTAGAGGGTCTAGTGAGACTGAAACTCACAACAAAAGCCATTCAGTAGGGCTCTGAAACGCTGGCAGTAAAATGATGTTTGCAATCGCCCTTACTATAACAGGGTCACATTTTGGGAATACTGACTAATATGTGATGTAGTGAGCCAAAAACCACGCTCCACCTTCATGAAAACTGTCTGGGTAAGGAGCACTTGTGGATATCTCTCACTGCCAAAGTTCTATGTCCAGCAATTCTTCTAGTAGAGACAATGTGCAGGGTAAATATAT